GGAAAAACCATTAAGCAGTGTGAATGTGAAAAGAAGTTCTGTTGCATGGCTGAGTTTTTCCGCTCGCCGAGAAAGTCAGTGAGACTTGAAAAACAAAAGTAACAGTAGCCGTGGGCAGGGATGCTGTCGCATAGTTGGCAAACTGCGCGGCGGCTGCCGTAGAGCTGGAGGTTGGATGTTGCTGTAGTTAGCCCATGTGGTGTGAGAGGCTGTCGCGGGACCGTGAACGTTCCCTAGTGTGAGTGGTAGTGTTGGTGTGGGTTGCCGGGGTGGTTTGTGGTGGAGGGCCTGTCCAGTATGAGTGCAGGCGGGCTGCGTCTTGTGGTGGGGTACGTGGTGAAGGAGAGGGTGAACGGCTGGAAAGCCCGGGTGGTAGTGGAAAACCTGGCGGTATGTTGTGGATAATAGCCAGGTTTCTGCTGGAGAGTGTGGCTGTGGGGTTGATGCGGTATTGTCCTGGGAGCCCGGGGCCGGTGGTAACAAATTGAAGGAGTCGACGAGCCTGGGAGAGGTCATCGATCAGGCGGTCCAGCAAGATCAGGTCGCCGCGCAGTCGGTAAAGGAGGTTGTATGCTCTCTGGTCTTGAAAATAAGTCTGGCTTGGCATAGGTTCAGTGTGGAATGGGTGACGGCGGAGGTGTTGGTTGACCATAAAGAGGAGGTCCAAAGAGCCGTTGAGGGATTGAAAATCGGGTTGGGTGCAAATCGAAGGTTGGAGCCAGCTCGGAGGGCACTGTGGGAGGTAGTGTTCTGTATCAGCGGGGTTGCTATGAGGGCGAGCGCAAGGATTGGCCATGACAATTGATGGACTGAGATGGCGTACAAAAGGCTGCGGAGCTGAGGTGAGCCTGAAAACTGACAAATCGAAGTTGGGCAACTTGGTGAACATATACTGGGTATGAAGAACTAAATGTCAGTGCATGTCAGTGGATTTGTCGTGCGGCACGCCGTAAAGAAGGTGGGTGAAACGGGTCAAATGAAATAACTGCCAACTGGCGTGAGTGGAGATTTCTCCGGATGACTGTCTTCACTAAGCGCTCGCTCAGCAGCCGGCGGCAGCAGCACAGCAGCAGGAGTCGTTGGATATTGTGAAGTCGGTGGCGTTGTTGTGGGGGAAGGGGAGAAATCCGGTTGTGAATGTGGTGCTGGGGAAACTGCTGGTGATGTGGGTGTTGGTGAGGGGGAAGGTGCTTGTCTTGGTGGTGCGGTTGGTAGTGGTGTGGAGAAGAGTTGCTGATCCTGCTGACGTTGCATGTCTTTGAGTTCTTGCCATCGGGCTTGGCATTGCTCAACGGAGAAGCCCACTCGGCGGGCCACAGTGGTCCAGTTGGGACGAAGTTTGGGGTTTTCTTTGAGTTCGACGAGGCGACAGTCAGCGTCGCCGTCCCAGGCATCCCAATCCGCCTGTCGGTTCAAAGGTGGTGGGGGTGGTTGCTTCCGCTTGCGTGTTGTGGTGGGTTGTGGATCTGGGGGTGTTGTTGGAGTGTCGTCTGAGTCTTGTAAGGGTGGTGCTGGTAAACGGATGGGTGGTCTGGATGGTGCTGAGTCACAGGATGAGGTGGTGGATGGTAAACGTATAGGGTGGTTGGGCGGAGTTGGAAGTGGCTGAAAGTGTTGGCGGAAAGTGGGGTCCGCTTGGTGGCTGTGGTGGAGGAAAACCGTGTGGAGGTGTGCTACAATATCTGTTGCTTGTCGAAGCAGGTTGTGCACCTGCGAAAGTGCCACTGCGGTTTTGTGTATGAGAGTTGAGGTGTCGTTTTGTAGAGGTGTCGGTGTGCTGCTCATGAGTCTGAGATGTAGGGGTGTGCAGTGGTCAAGAATCGTCACAGGTTGCTGCGGCAGCGCGCCAAAGCAGCCGGACAGCGGCGAGTCTGAGGGAGCGCGTCATCCCGAGGCCGTGCATATGAATTAAGCGAGCATCAAATTCCCACAGGCAAAAGTGCGAGTATGCAATGCCGGTTGGACAATTAAGTACATGACTTAATGAATCACTCTCCACGATGCAGAATCTGACATGTGAAAGACTCCATCAAAACAGCCGGTACAATTCGAAAAAAGATGTTCTCAGCAAACACTGCAGAGCTAGAAAAATTGAGGGTTCAAAATTCGCGTGGCCGCTGCAGGAGGCTCTTTTTTGCTGCTACAGCAAAGGTTGGGTGGTGGTGTGAGACCAAAAGTGGATGTGGAGGTGGTAGTGGTGTGTAGATGTGTGGTAGTGGTGTTATGGGTCCGGTGGAGTGGAGTTGGTGGACCAGGCCAGTCCTTTGACAATGGCGTGGTCCGGGTGGATCACCCAGCAGCGGCCCTTCTGATGAAAGACTGCACCATGGTGGTCGTTAAGGAGGTTCATGGCGTGTTCCTCACCTCCAGAGGTATATTTTGTGGCAGCACCCCAAGCAAGGAGTGTGATGATAAGGGAATGGGAATTCTTGTGGAGTTGCCAGGTGTTGTGGATGATGCGGGCAAGTTCGTTGTGGTCATGGGGTTGGTTGTGGGTGATGCGAACGCCCTGGGCAAAAAATCCAGGGTAGTTGGCAAAGTGGAGTGTGCTGGGTAAAAAACGGCCTTGGCGTAGAATGTTGGAAATGTTGCCGACGGGGCCTGTGTGGCCTGCGTTGATGTGGGCGACTTCCCGGTGGGTTGATGTGGCGCGGGAAACCGCAGGTGGCTCTGGTGTAGTGGCTTTGGTGTTGAGGAAGGGAAGTGAAATGGCGTAGTACTGGAATTGGTCGTATTGGTGAGTTGCGTCGTTCCACTTAGCGTGGGTATATTGTCGGAAATCGGTGATCTCCTTGTAGGTGATGTTGCAGTCTGTGAGGATATTGGCAATGTACTGGTGTTGTGGTCGGTTGGGATTGTCGAGTTGGGTGGCGTGGAATTCGAGCCATTCCAGGATTTGGTCTGCAGGTGTAAAGGTGTGAAAGTTGGGTGGAGGTCGCCAACGGTTGATTGGGCGACGGAGGACGGCTGTGGTGGGATATTGAGAGGGGTCCGGGTTGGTGTGTTCGGTGTTGGGGCGTAGATCAATGGGTTGTGGTGGCGAACGACTGCGGGATGGCGTAAGGCTGGATGTGTAGGTGGATGTTGAAGGCGACCGCCGTCGCCGGGTTGTGCTGTGATGTTTGGAGTGGCGGTGATGGCGATGTCGGCGGCGGTGGCGGTGGCGTCCTCTGTGGTGATGGTCGGACTTGCGTCGGCTCTTGTGGTGGTGGCGGCGACTGCTGTGTGGTGGTTGCGGGGAAGGTGGTTGCGGTGCTGGTGAGGCAGTGGTGTCAGGTTGGTCTGGTGCTGGTAGTGAAGGTCCAGGCGCTGGTGTGGCAGATACCAGCGATGGGGATGCTGAATGTTGGGATACGGTAGCTGGTGGAGGCGTTTTTTGGACTGGTAATGGATTGTCCTGGGCAGTCGTGGGGATGGGTTGGATCGGTGGTGTTGGATCCGATGGTGGCTGCTGTTGAGGTGGAGGTTGGGTTGGTGTTGAGGCGTTGATGGTTTGTGGAGGCGGTGGCGGGGGCAACGGTTGGAGGGAAACAGTTTAAGTGGATGGTGTGTCGTAGGTCAGTGCAGTGGCGGTAGGGTTGGACAAAAATGGTGGTGGTTGAAATGGTTGTGGTTGTGGGTGAGGGTATGCCGATGGTTGTGTCGAGGGAAAGGTGGGTGCAGTTGATGGTTGTGGCATCGGCCATGTGGGTTGAGGTTGTGTGGTAGGTAATGGTGGTGGCGCGGTGTGAGCGTAGGGCCACGGAAAATGCATGTCGTGGTCGTAGCTATGGCGCGGCGCGGCGCGGCAGCAAAAAGCAGCGGAGAAGTGCCGAGTTGTATTGTCTTGTTGTTGTTGAAGGTGTCATCTCTGGTGTCAGTGGTGAGTATGTTGTAAGGTGGTGCTAAATGTGAGCTTGTTGGTAGGGGTGTGTTCATGCATCTCGAATTAAGCTGAAGAGCTGTAATGCCCATCCTTGAGTTCTGTCGATGAAAGAATCGCGGCAGCAACATGGCGAACATAGAAACACGCACATGATTGGAAGACATGAAAAGAAAACTGAATGCTGAAATCTGAGATCTGAAGTTTGGAATCTGAAGGATTCTTCAAGAACCGTTTTTTGGCCCGGCGGCCGGTGTGGCGGTTGATTCTGTGAGGGTGTCGGTGCCTGCCTTCCTGTGATAATCCAGTGAGCGGTGGTGCGTTGGGGTGGTTGCTTTCCCATGCAAGAACGGCGCCCCTGTGACGGGGATCACACTCAGCACCCGAGTGGGACGGCTGAGCAGGACACACTTCGAACTTGGGTTTTTCAGTTAACGCAATTGTCTCAATGGGAAGGAAGGCGATGGAACGGCAAGGTGGAAAGGTCAGCTTAAACTGTATTGTTTAACACAGGTTTCACGACAAGCGCAAGTGGAAGCGGCGGTCAGCAGCTGCAGTGCAGTGGGAAACCTGTTTGTGGGGAAAGTATCGTGTGGAACCACCATGAATCAAACCAAAAGATTGGACAGCGTGTTCAAAAGTTGAAGCAGGTACACATCAGGACGTCTCCCGATGCATCACCAGAGAATGTGGACGTCTTCGTTGGCAGTGATTCCACAAACTCTGTCACTGCCCCCTGCCTGTGTAAAATGGGAAGAGTGGTGGTGTAAGACCCTTTGTCCAGGGTGGGACACACACACACACACTAGCTCTCACTACATAGTCAGTGCCTTACTAGGGCCATATCTGTGGCGGGAGCTTTCTATTCACATTGAAATTCTATTCATATATATTCATATATAGCACACCATGGTATCGGCTTTCATTCTCATCTACCAATGGTATCCTGTTGGCGCTCTGACCTTCGGGATCCCAATCGCTCTGGTGAAAGCAGTGAAGAGCAGCAGCGTTTTTGCGCTTTTCAAGGTTCACTCTCCTCTCCGATCTATCCAGGTTGTTGTCCCCAGTTGTCCCCCTTCGTTCAGGGGAAGTGATCCCCACATCCCCACTGGTCTCACACACTCTCAATCCGCGCCAGGAGGTGATGATCCTGTCCTTGACGGAGCGTTCCACGCTGACACAGCTCAAGAAGATCCCAGCACCCTGGCAATGTCCTTTGCTTTGTTTGCTGAGTTACGTTCGGTCACTTGGGACTGACCATGGTCCGACAGTCATCCTGCTGAAGGTGGTCGGAGAGGGCAAAATGGTAGGGGGACATTTGACCATTCATCAGGATTCTTGTCCAGCATTTGTTGGGGATGAAATGCATGTAGTAGCAGTTGCACTGGAACTTCAATATAAACACTGGGAGTTGGGTGTGGCACTGAGAGGCAGGTGGCTTTTAAGGCAGTTCTGACCTGCTCATGGCTTATTATTGGAAGATCTCCTGCACAGCTTGCTGCACAACACATTCTGTTCATTTCTGGGAGAGATGGCTGAAAGCATGCTCCGACCAACTAGCAATAGAATTTGGATGAATTTGGTGTTTTTAACCAAGGGAGCAAAAGTCATTGGTCAGAAGAGTCATTGGTCAGAAGGTTTGGAAGAGAGATGTTCTCGTCTACTCGTAGAGGCAATCGTTGCTTTCTTTTGCACAACAAACTGGCCTTCTACCTTTCTTCCTCCAAACAGTGTGGTTACTAACACGGACGCACGGACTTGGGGCATATACTCGGGATCTTCCCTGCTGAATTTCTGCCTTTCTTCCAGAAATCCAGCAAGAAGGCAGAAATGTCGCACAGTTGGAAGATCTTGGTATATGGGCATAGGTCGGTTGACAAGGTCAGGGCTCCTCCTCTGCCTATTCAGACACTGAAGAGACCTCAGTTTGTTGAACTTCACCTGGTGAAGCCTTACGTACCCGGTTCTGCGGTTTTCGGGGGGATTTGTTGGTTTTTCTCGGTTCCTGGGCAGCTTGCTGCCCAGCTTCGGTGGCCCTCCAAGAGCCTGAAGCGATCTTCGGTTCTTCCCGATGAGCCAAGTTGTCCGCTCCATGTCCTCAAGACGGTCATCCACAATCATCCAAGACGTCGTCTGAAACATGGGAACCTGAACCCCGACCATGTGAGTTCATGGCAGGGTGATATGATGCGTCCCATCATTTGGATTGCACACCCTCTTCATTTTCTGGGGGGGTCAATTATTAAAATACTATATATAACAAAATATCACTTATATGATCTTATATGTTCTAGATTTTAGTTTTTTTTTCTTTTAAATGTTATACTATAATATCTATTTGTAATAATGTACGTATTTATGCTTGTTTACAATGTCATCAACGCATAGCACCTGTGCCACGCGGTTCACCTGAATCGCGAGGTGACGGGCGGGCCACCCTATGTAGCTCGATCGGAAGCTATCCAGGGAGCTGAAGAGACGGAAGGGAGGTGAACCTGAGACTGCAGCTGTGTTTTTTGTTGGGGGGGTGGCTTCCGCCCCCTTCGTTTTTTTTTTGGGGAGGGTGACAACATCCTTTGCCACGACCTCCAGACATCAAAAGATTTGTTGGAAAAAGGAAAGCAGACAACAACCCATTGGGCCAGGGGTCTCCCTATCAAAATACACTCTACTTCACTTACAATACTGGCTTGTTGCAGCAAAGTGTTGCAAAGACTCACTCGGGCCGTTGGGTTTTGATTGGACACATGCAGCATGAACCACGCGACGGTCAGGTCATGAACCACGGGCCGACGTCTGGTCACACTACGCACGCCCAGTCTCACCCAGGTCCTGGTCCTGAAAAAAGAAAATAGTAGTGTTTTTGTACGATCAACTCCAGTAAAATGAGGCTGACCTGTAGGGTCAGTTACAGGGCCCAGACTTTAAAACATCACAATCACAAACATCATCTCGACAGAGACAGATTGCGGTGAATCCGCCAAGGATTCGGCATTTTTGCAAGAGGTCCGGTTTGCCTGTGATAGTAGAGATGATGTAGATGCGTGTAGATGATGGTGGATGCACGGGCAAATGTGGTGGTCTGGAAGGACACTTAGGAATATAACATAGTGTTTGTTGACGTAGACGCAGCGATCAAAGCGGCTTGGTAGTCTCGAAGCCAAGAAGGTGCCACCTGCGCAGGGTGTTTTGGAGTTAACCCTGTGTGAGGTGTCTGCTGTGCTCCCCCAAGCACTGCGGGCGGACTCGGTCGGATGAAACGTTGAGGCAATGCTTTTGCTGAGCCAAACTTTGTTGGTGGCCACTGATCTCTTTCTGCACGTCTTCCAGGCACACCGTGTGTTTTGTGAGGTGTCGAAGCAGGGTGTTTTGGTCGGCGCCTGATGGGGAGGACGCAGGGTGGCCATGGTCGGTCGTCTACAGGGTCGGTGCCTGAACGTCCCCACACTGTCGGGATGGGTGTGTTGAGGACGTGGAGATGTTTGGAGGGTCCAAATACCAGCCCTACTGCGCCAAAAAGAATCACCAATCGGATTCACTCTAGCCAGTTGCGCTATATGGGAGTCTCTTGACCAATTGCGCCCTACTGCACATCAGGGACCGTCAATTCAGTGACACAGAACCAGCAGTTTTCGAAACTTACCCAGGAACATGCTTCATATCTACGCCTCCAGTCCCAAACAAGAACAACTATGTGCTTCCCTCAACAACCACTCGTTGGGCCATGCGGCCGAAACGATTTGATGATGGTACCTGGTTTTTTGGTACCGTTGACTAGCATCGGAACCGATGAAAACCCTCCGTGCAAAGGCGGTACTATCGGTTCACGATGTGCGTATGTGTGGCGGTACTATCGATGTGCGCCGTGTGTGCATGTCAATCCGATGCTCCACAAAAAAGGAAAGGGTGGAGTCTACAAGCCTCCGTCCTGCTCGGCAGTTCCTAGAAACTGGTCTTCTTCTGTTGGTCGCGTTGCCAATGAAAAGGGGACACGTGGTCCGAATCATCTGGACGTGCCGCCCGGGGCGTCGGACGAGGTTTTCGACCTCGGTTTCGATGGTGTTCGAGGGAGGTCGATGGAGGTGCCGCTCTGGTCGATACTGTTTTCCTATAGTATCTATAATAGTCTTCTGTTCCACCATTCAAAGAGTTTGGTTCGGACCTGGTGTCGTAGTCTAAAATCCCTATAGTAAAGATAGTAGAGGCCAATTAATTTTAATGGTGGGCGAGTGGAATCCTATTGTAACTCGCATGCAATCCCTCGATTGGTTGAGCCATGCCGCCATGCCATGTGGTCCACTCTTAGACGTGAGAGACCCACCAGAACCCTGCTGATCTGCGCCCAGGGAATGGCCTTGGACACCACAAGCACTGAGGTGCAACCACGCGCATCGTCGCTGGGCCTTAGAAGGTCGCTTTTCTCGGGGCTGGTGGGGAGGGTTGAGGAAGGGTGAGGGTTGACATGGGATTTAGAACACATACATATGGGAACTCACACATTCCAAAGTCATCTGCCTTACCAGTGATTTGCACCCAGTCTAGTCTTATTCCAACGATTTCTGGGTAGCATGACTCTTCACGGTCGCGTTGACAACCCCTAAAGAACAGGCAGGCGGCAGCAGGGGTCGAAGGGCAGTGTCATGGCCTCACTGATGAAGCGAAACATCGGTCGACCATATATAGAGACCATGGTGGGCGATGGTAGGTGACCCCCAACAACCATAAGCTTCCTCAATCTCCCTGAAAAGAACCTGACTGAAACGCCTTGGTCAAGTAACTGAGTAAGGAACATTCAGGACATTTGCGAGTTTCAGCTTGGGAGATGGGATACGAGCTGCAAGCCATGACGGCTCCGACATGAGATCTCTTAATAAAACTTTGGGGCCCATTCCGATTTTCGATTCAGGGACACCAACTGCACTGCAATCTCGTGGTTGCTTCATATTTTTGTCGGTAGTTTAACATACCTAAATTGTCCTAAATTTATATAATACTTGTCGGTAGTTCAACATATATGATTTATTTAGGTCTGTGAACCACACAAACATCCACCCATGGCTAGGCTCACCAATAAACGCCGGTAGCTTGTGTATATAGACGCCCGTGGAATATCAGAAGGCTAGAATAACACCCGCAGACTCAAATATCAGGCTGAGTCTAAGACAGTGTAAGGCTTCATGAGATGATTCCAAGGTGCAAACACCCTCGGAACATTTGGGAACGGACTTGCTCGATATACGTCGTTGTTATCATTTTTCTAGGACAGAGGATTTTCTTCTCATGGCCTTAGACCAGACCTGCCAACTGTGCAACATGGCTGTCAGCCTTTTCGTCGAAGAAACTGCCAAAAGGCATACCTTAAGTGGCATATAGTTGCAAGATCCAGGTCGGCTATTCTGCAGCCAAGACTCGTCGGTTTGGGGACCGATAGCGCTAGCTCCTAGGCTGGCGGTGAACATGGTCCACAGCCATCCTCCCACGATCACCATCAGCCTCTTAGTTGCTTGGCTCATGAGAATCCACTCCAACCCCAAGTGAACCCCACCATATTGGCCCTTTCCTATTTTTCCAAGCTGGATATACTGAACTGAAACCATCTATATAACCCCGGCTTAAGAACTGGACCTGATCGCCCTCGTGTTTCACCATGGCGAATGCGACCCTTTCGAGTCGATCGAACACGCCAACGGGCCACTGACCAAGCAGTCGGACCAAGCAGTCGGAACCGAACCGACGACGAATCCGGTGAAGCAGTCGGACCCGACGTAGTGCCCCACCCCCCCGGGGTAGAAGAAAAACACCTCTAGGTAGGAGTGGAAGAGAACATTTTGACCCTGACACGGGGAAACAGACCAAACTGGAGACTGGCAATGTTTGGGGAACCACTCTGTTTTGATCCTACCAGAATCCGACTAATTATTTCTTGGCTGTTTTCAATGCATCGAAGCCCTCAAAACCCACGAGTAGATGGAAAAACACCACCAATAGTTGACTAGACCTTCACGTCGCGGTGTGAAACATGGAGATCCACAGCTAGTGTAGGGTCCAGCTACAGGAGACGCCTGGAGACCACTGGAGGGCGCCTGCATCACCCTATGGCTCCAGTGGTACCTCAGAAGGTATGACTTGGTATGACTGGAGCCTCCTGATCCACCCCAGTCCCACTCCAGTTCCACTGAACCTCAGAAGATGCGACTGGAGCCCTCCGTATAGAATCTTCACATCTTCATTCTTCCGAACTCCCAAGGAGACGGGCCTCCTCTTGGGCTTGGACCTCTACAGGCAAAGCACCGCCGAAACGTGAAGTCAGGACTTTCCGATGCCGACCTGCGGCAGTCTGCAGACCTGTGACCCTCCAGACCTGGATCTTCCAACAATATCAACATGGGCTGGCATAGATGAAGTGAAGAGACAGACATGTTGGAAGATCATGCAGATCCAGGTATACCGGCAGATCCAGCCCATGTTGACATCCATAGTATGAAGGAAGGTAGATCATGTTGATTGATCATGCAGATCCATAGTATGAGGCTCCGGCCCCCGGCCCCCTCTGGCAGAGGTGTTTCGGCCGTTTCCTCCGGGTCGGTCCGTTGAGGAGCGACTCGTTCTGGCGACCTCTTTGTTCCTGTTGAGTCTGTTGAGTGGTGGGCAGATGTTATGACTCAGCAGACTAGAGCTAGTGGTAGTTGAATGGTAGTCTGTTGAGTAGTCTGTCGAGTCAACAGTCTGTTGAGCTTCTTACAGGAGAGATACTAGGCAGGATGCCCCAGGATGCCGGTCTTGAGAGCCGCGATCTGCCGGGATTGGAGATGCGACCCATCCCTGGGCATGCAGCATGCAGGGCAGATGGAAGTGGCGTATGTTGTTTGTGTTTAATCTTCCACCCATCTGACCTTGAGCATTGTTTTGATAGTCCAACAACAGGGACCACTCAGGTTCTATGGTTGATGATCCATGGAGATTCACTCTCTCGCTTCAAACGTGTCGAAGAAAAACCACGGCAGTCTTGGTGGGTTCAGCGGAACCTGCTTCCATGCGGATCAGGCCTAAGACTCCCACGGGACTCTGTGGCGCTGGCAGCTTCTCTCCGCACCTCGGTGCCGCTGTCTGCGGACACGCGCGTGAACGACCACGTATGAACGACCTGCCCTGAAGGCCTCAAATCCGGGAGCCTACCCTAAGAATCCGGGCCCAGTTTAAACGATGTGGACACGGGTTTGGTTCGGGTCATGTCCCACCCCTGCCATAGTTCGGGTAGAAGAAGGAGCCCGAGCCCATCTCATGTCTTATGGGTCGAAGTTCTCCTTCCTCCCCTCAGCCAGAATGGCACTGGCAGGACTTCGCTGGCGCATGGGTCACACGCTGTTGCCATGTTTATTGCCCATCTACAAACAAACTTGCGAGCACAGCACCCATTTGTACTCACGTCGTGCATCGTCATGCCTTGTTTTTTTAAAGCAACTATTGTCAGTCAGGACCGCCAGCTGTAAGAAGCAAGCTGTATAGTTGTTCAGAGAATTTCAGAGATAGATTTTTGGCACTCACTAGCACTCACTTCTCTTTTGAGGGAGCAAGGCTGGGCAAGGGCAACTGGTACCAACAATCCAAGGTACTAGTTATTAGATGTTATTAGCCCATCCACTGAGTGGCCTAGCTTACTTGTGAGTTCATGTTGATCTCGTCGTCACACGACTCGACACGTCCGACACACTGGGCCGTCCGGCTGTGCCGACGAGACTCGTCGTCGCCGTCGAGGCCCGGCGACTTCGAGTGCCGCCCCTGCCCCGATGGCTGGAGCTCCTTCGGTGCCGCAGGCGCGTGCGCGAAGACGAAGCAGCGCGAGTGGTGGGTGGGCGCGGGTGCGCGTGGTGGTGGGTGGCAGGTTTTTGGGGGGGCTTTTTACGGGCCTGGAAGACCGCAGGATTTGGGGTGGGGCGGTTGGTTTCTAGGCATTGTAGGCGACTCAAATCTGATCCGAGTTCGTTCTTGAGTTCTACTTTGTCTTTCCCTGGAGATCCACATACCTTCTCAGAAGGTACGACTGGGCCCTCCTGGCGTACGACTGGATCCCTAGGGTCCTGGGGTTTGTCCTTTTTTGGGCTTGACGCAGGACATAGAAAATAGGACCTTTAAAAGGTTCCTTCCTTCGCCGGAACGTCCGGACCCAGGTGGTAGGATCCAAAGGTTCCTGCTAATTCGAGGGGGTGTTGAATTTCCTCTCACCCCGCTTGAGCATAGATACTGTAGCATAGCTACTGCATAGCTCAAGCGGGCAAAAAAAGCGGCTTGGCAGGTTTAGCGGGCAGTAGCGGAGGGTTGGAAGGGCAAAACTCAGGTGAAACTGCATGAAAGTGCACTATGTAGATCTTTCATGATCTTTCGTAAAAAGAACCGCCAAAGAATGAATAGAAACCCACTGCTGGGCGGGGTTACCTACTCTAATACACATCCATAGAGGAGTCTGACCACTGTGAGCACAGGAACATCTTTGAGAACTCGAGCTCACAGAGCCCGAACTCACACTGACTGACATCAAAGGTCTATGCGTTAGCCACATACCCACGCCGGGCACCGCGATCCTCAGGACGGCCTTCTGCAGTTGCGTTGCACATGACAAATCAAGTCCCCCCAAAACCCCACACCGATCCTCAGTGTTTGACCCGTCCGGTTCGTTGGTTCAATCCGTTCACCCTACTGGTCTGGGTGAAGCATCCTGCGGGTCCTGCGGGTCCGTCGGGTCCCGAGGTCCACACAAGCATTTGCTTCATGGAGGGTTCTCCCCCCAACTAGGAGACCCTGTAAGAAATGGGGCAATGCCGGGCAATGCTGGGCAATGCCGGGCAATCGCCTTGAAGCAGAGGGTTGTTTGCACATGTCCAGGTGTTTGTTTTCTTACATAGAAGTTCATCCTGAAACAACACATCCCACGTGAGTGGCTGTGACGATGTGGGCGAGTGCGCACTTGGCCTTGGTCAGGGTCATGCAATTATCCCATGCCGAAGACCTTGATGAACGCCCTGAAGCTGCTGGGTTTGGCACGAATAGCATCAGCTTAGCTTGACTCTTCCAGGTTAGAGGGTGGAACGGGGTGCCCAGCGGCTCAAGAGTCAGAGGTAAGGAGAGGAACACATTCTTAGAGGATATCTAACCATTTGGGGCCACTCGGAGCTTTGTCTTGTTTTTTTTCTCACGGACCCATGTTTTTGTGGCTACAAGGTCATGATCACAACCCAAATGAAAGGACTAAGCGCCCCATCAACATCCCCACATTTAGGATGGTTCAGGGACACTCGGGAGGCCTCAAAAGGGCAAGCAGAACATAAAGAAGAAACACAAAATTAATGATGAGACTTAGAAGACATCGATCACCACCTTCAACCCACCCAATTTGATGCTAATGCAGCACCACCATCGTAAAAACTACACCCTGAACATCCAGCAGCAAGACCTGCTACTTTGCACCACCAGAACTTGAGCTGATACCAAGTTGCCTGAATTGACAGGCAGTCAAGCCGATGATGCCAAGGGAAGTGTCACCTCCTCCAGCAGTGTAGGCAGATATGGCATACATGGAGTGTCTGTGTATATGAGTTTGTTGGGTAGTTCCACGAGGGTTTTTGTGGCTCCATCAGCTGTCCGCCATCACAGAAGATGCAGCTGTCCTGGGATACACCGAGGTTGTTGCTCTTGGGGATGCTTCTGATGCTGGTGGTGATTCCGCAAACGCTGGCACTGATCCTGAAATTCTCCAAGGCAGAGCATGTGGGGCGCACACAAACACAATGTGCTTTGGGTGCATAGAGCCATTTCTGGAAGAGTGCATTCCGGCAATGGATTGGTCCAGCATACCCCCTGGCAACCCCTGGCTCAAATCGGATTTTCTACCAAACCCACTAAAAGCCACAAACCACTTGGGAAAACCGGACCAGAGCTATGCTCCCAGTTCGACCTCCTGAATGATCAGTCCACAGCGCCGGGCACAGCATCAATCGCCAGGCCTCTTTGCGCACCCATCTCGATGAGATGTTGCAGCCGTTCTTCGTGCCCTATGCTATGGCAGCCTGGAGAGACACCGAGCGAAACACCGATGGTGCAAACTTGTTTGGCTTGTTTTCGGAGTTGGCCCAATGCTAGACGATCCAACCAAGAAGTGCCCCATCCGCCAAGCAGTCGCAGAAACCATATGAAGCATCATTTGACACGGCCCATGCCTTTATTCTCAGAGCTCTCAAGAACAGTGCTTTATTTTTGGGAAACACTTGTTTTCCCTCAACCCCCATGTACCTCCTCCAAAAGAACGGCAGGCACCACAAGACTTGGCTATATGATTTGGTGGATCTAACATTGACGGGCCACTTGGAGCCCAGATGAGGTCGGGTCCCACGAAGGTGAACCTTCCCAGGGCCAGGGGTCGTTGTCTGGCAGGTCTCCCTAATTCATACCCATGGCCCATGGGCGATTATGTGACTTTTTTTAACCCACGCACCCCTTTTTTTGACCAACCCATTTTGTTTGACCCCCGGAACTGTTTAATTTGACATTCCGACCTTTTCTTTTTGACCCACAACCATTCTTTTCTGACCCACAGCCGTTCTTTTTTCACCTATATACCACCCTTCTTTTTTGTTCCACAACCCTTCTTTTTTGACCCCCCAGCATTCTGTTTCAAACCCTTTTTTCTGACCCACAACCCTTCTTCTTTGACCATAAACCCTTTTTTTCTGACCCATGGTTCTGTTTTCTTTGACGCCGCAACACTTTTTGTTTGACGCGCAACCCGCTTTCTTGACCTCATAAACCCCCGGGCATGCTCTATGAGAGGAAGACGCATGCAGAGGAACTCTTTCTCCTTATGATCCTTATGCATCCCTCTCTCTTCGACCCACGGTATTTTTTCTCTTTGTTCCCGTTTTGTGCCATAACCTTTCATCCACAACCTTTTCTTTTCACCCACCACTGACCCTTGTCTTTAAACCCACCACCCTTCTTTTCCGACCCCCGGAACTTGTTCGACTTGTTTTACTCGAGTCCGGGTTGGTCCGTTAGGGTGTTTTTAAGGTGGTGGCGAGAAGGTCACAAGACGATACCGGGGATGCAGCCTTTGCTTCTAGGAGGTAGAGACAACAACATTTGGGCGCAAAAGCAACCAGGGTCCTCCAGTATTTCTTTCTAGACTGCTAGGATGTGGTGGTAGAATCTGTAAGAAGTTCCTATAGAAGGTGCTCGGTCACGAGATATGTGGGTTAAAACAGAAGGATTGCGGATCCAATTGAAAGAAGCAGGGTCGCTAATCAAAAATGATGCAAAAATGCATTGTTATGCGTCAAAAAGAAAGGAGACGGATCGTGGGTCAAAAAAGAAGGGTTGTGGGTCAAAAATAAATGAGAAGGGTCATGGGTCAAAAAAGAAGGGTTGTGGGTCAGAAGAGAAGGTCGTGGGTCAGAAAAAAATGTGGTGGGTCAGAATGAACCCCATACATACTTAATATATATATATATATATACATATATAAGTGCCATTCTGTTTCATTTTCACCATGGGTGTTCTGGGGACCAAACTAACCTGCGCCAATGTGACAGATCTGTCCGTTCTTGACGTGGCCCTTCCCCCCGGACCCCTGTGGAGAACCGACCCCACTCACAAAATCCGGCGGAAGACCCTTCTCGCCTCAAAAGGCTCCAACACAGGAACCGAGGGTCCAAGGACCCTGCATAGCTGCAGGGGTTTGGACCCTGTTTCCAGAAATGATTTGTCTTCCTGCTTCGTGCCCAGGTGCTTTTGCCTGCCCTTTGTGCCTGGGCTGCTGTGCGCTGGCGCTTGCGTGTCTTCCTTGCTGTTGTCCCGCTGCTCAGTGCTGCCCTGGGGCTGGCCCACGCGAGGGCTGGGCTGGCAACTGGCGCGCTGATTTGCCTGGCGCCTTGGGATGGGTGGTGGATGAGGAGAGAACAGATGGGACCGGACCTCCATGGATCGTATTCTGGATGGGAAGTTTCAGATTCACTTTCATTCCCTGTTCATATTCCAACTGGATTGGACAGAGAATGGCAAAAAGGTGGTGAGGCAGCTGTAAGATTGAGGCGTGATATAATATATATATATATTTGACGGTTGACGCCTGTTTCATTGGTAGGTTTGTAGTTTTCAATCTGGCAGGACCTGGCATTCCCTCCAGCACCCCAAGCTTGATAGCAGTTCTCAAAAAGAAAGACCGCGCTCTCACTGGGTGGCGCAAGAAAACCATGCACTCCATGAGTCATCGGTGGTCATCACATGTCATCACCATTGGTCAAAAAAGCCGTGTCCATGTCTATGTCAATTGGCTGTGCAAGCCGGAGGCCGGAGAGCTTCAAACGTCTAGTAACACATCCGATCCTGCCAGTACCATCCGAGGCAGCCTCCTCTTTGGCAGCTATGCTATGTTGCCTTTGGGTTCCGGTGTATTGGGATCCGATGATGATGGCCAGTGTGCTGGTACCAAGCCGCTGGCCTCTGCCAAATCGGTCTTAGACATGCGGAGTCGGGTCAAGAGGGTCTGCCATTTGTGCCGGAACATAGACATGGACAAAGCACAAGGTCAGGGAAATGATTTGAAGGGTCCATTCTCCCCGTGGCCAATATGAAAGGAGTTCCATGTCGGTGTGCCTCCTGAAGGATTCGGAGTGAACATCCTCTCACTAGACCCGTTTGGAACTCCAGGTTTGACAACTGTCCAACTTTGCATGTCGGTTTTGGAGAGTGGGAGAAACTTGAACACAATCATACTCAATCACATTATTCCTTGCGGTTCTCCCTTTTTCATTGCGCTTCTTCTGTGCCTCCACCTTTTTCTACGCATTCGAATGTTTCAGGCGCCAATGCCTATTTGACGATGGACTTGAGGAGATGGCTCCACAATCCGTTTGTGTCGTGGCTGAAAGGGCAGATTTGAAGGGCCGATCGGCCGATCACATTGGTTCTGTTAGCGATTTGAGTGGGGGGCATGTGTGCTTCTGCTTGGCTTTCCGAAGGCCTTCAGAACTCATCCTTCTCCACCAGTCCACCTATTTACAGTGATAGGCCTTGAAAAACCATGGGGTAGTCACCCCTCCACACCGATAGAAGACACAACACATCCACACGACCTCAAGGACCTCCGCACCACCGGGTTCGGATTCGGTCTGGTCCGGCCGCCCATGGCCGCCCATGGCCTTGGATGACCATGAGATCCATGACGTTTGAAGACCCACCTGGTGGAAACAACCATTGTGTGGACCATGATCATGTTTTAAATGTTCCAGGGAGTGTAGAAGTCTATCAACGAGAGGCACCGAGGCACCGTTTTCCACACACTTTGAAACTCCTGGACTCGGGTGATCTAAACCCCAGGCCCTAGGACTCCAACAACATCCGAAAAGAAGGTTGTTGGGACGGGTGCCAGGGTGGTCTAGCTATTATACCTTCTAAGGCTCTAAGGATGCAAAGTCTGGACTGCATGAAAAGTAGGACTGGACCCGAACCTATGGAGGGGTCTGGGGTCGAACCCTAAGGGTGTTCAAAGACCAAGGCCGCAGGCCTGTTTGGAGTTTTAAACATTTGGACTTTGAGGGTCCATTTAGAGGCTTTACCGATCCGGTGCTTGAAATGGGCTCCATGCGGCGCTTGCCATTCTTTTTCAGTCCGGAGGACACAGCAGTTGGATGCACGGGGAACGTGGAAGAACACCCTGACATACCCCTGACATCAGCACTTGAACCGCGTACGAGACCCTGTAACCTCAATGGACTCAACTCGGCATCCCGTTCAACTTCCAACCAACCGACATAAGACTCTAAGTACCCAGACACGACGAATGGGACTGCCATATGTGCCGATCAGGCCAGGGGTGGTTTGGTTTGGGTCGTAGGTTTCCATATCCCAGTCCCATTCGTCGTGTCTGGGGTATACCAGGATGTCCGACCAGGACCATCCTGTTTGTCCGACCAGGACTATCCCTGCTGAGAGTGTCTCCCATCGGCGTTTCCGCTGTCTGCACCGAGGTCACGACCGGCGATGGGACCAAGGCCAACACGGCGCCGACCTCGGAGCGGTTCGGGCAACGGAACCAAAACGAACGCCTTGAACTGCGGAGGGTTTGAACTGAGGGCTGAGTGTTGGGAACGAACGCGTGGTGGCGGAGGGTGATTCTTTAGTTCGGATCACACGAAAGTTGGATGTTGCAATTGACAGGATTCTTATCACTCCTCAAACTTCATCTTGGATATTTTAGGATGTGTGCCACGCAGAGAAGTGGCCAAGTGGCAAAACAAGTGGGTGCCTCTGGGTTTCTGGACCATCCATGGCAGTCCTTACTTCATGTTGCGTGCCAATGAGTCGAGCATATGATTGAACATCTGGAAGAATTATCCTGCTTTGGCTGACACATGACAGCTCCTTACTATAGCACTACTTTGTTGATGGAAGAAACACAATGACAATGAATTAGAAACCCTGAATCACTTGGCTCCTTCAAACCATTGAACATCTTCTCCCCCCATCCTTGAGACCTCCTCAAACCGCTCAGGGTTCGGTCTTTGGGGGCTGGACGGTTTTTCAGTCGGTCGTGCACGACGTAAGGCAACCTGAAGCGAAGACAAGTAGAGTCCAATCAGTCTTTACAGTTGGAAGTGAAGTATCTAAGCAACCTAAAGCTGGCAGCTTCGTACAGATGTGCTGGTAGATCTTTCGGTTGCCTAAAACTACATGTATCGGCTTTTATTGTTTCTTTGCAAAGTGTTCCACTGTCGTGTTTTTGTTCCCACATCCGACAGAGCTACGCTGCTTACCACGCCGCGAAAACTCTCTCCTGTCTAAGGCCGGTGCGCGGATGATCATCATGGCCGGTTCTGTGGTGTATAGCTTCACAGCAGGACTTATGGTCTTGACCCTTGGGCTGAAGAGGGACGGAGAGGGGCCCAGTGATGGCCTCGTGTATCGGGCGCCCAATCGGATTGAATCCGAGAGTTGTGTGGACGCGACACTGGACATTGCAGTTGTGATATGTTGTGATGGTATATGCTGATAGTTGTGGAATGTTGTGGAAGATCGCCAAAGATGTGTCGAGGAGAAGTTAGTGCAGAAACGGGGTTGTTCCATCTTGTTCTGACAAATTAATTTGCAGCATTGTGCCTTCAGAATCTATACTAATACTGTGCATATTATTACATGCTGAAAATTAGACATCAGACACATCTAATCAAGATTTCATGTATGTTCATGTCATTCTATTTCCAAATGCCTTTGGTTATTGGTGGCGTATATTTACAATAGCGTTTATACATGTTTATACATTCATTTTGTGTTTGGAAAGCAGTGTGCTGTCGACCCAGGACCTTGATTCAGCATCAGGGCCATGGTGTTTGGACGCCCATTGGACCCTGCGCCAGCAGGCGGTCACCGGCGGTCCGATGCTCTTTTGCCCATACACGACTTAGTGAGACTGTCATATAGTGTGAAACCCTACATTTGGGGTGGTTGATTTGGAGTCTTTGGGTTCTGATAACATGAATTCATTCTCCACCTATCAGGTGAGGGTTAGGATGCAGGATGTGCAGCTCCGTTGATCAACTCTCGTACCACATGTCACCTGTGCTGTGGTTAAACAAAGACGTTCGTTGCCGGCATGTCCATCGACTACCATACAGCTCCAAAGACATCCGTTGCATAGGATTTTCGCAGGTATTGGGGGAAGGCTACTGTAAGCAGATTTTAAATCATACAGTAGCCTCCCCAGTTCCACGGGTAGATTGGGTGGATTGGAGGTGTAACCAGTAACTCTGTAACCAATCTGGGGTGGATGTGTATTTTCCCAGGAAACCGCCGAATCCCCCAAACTGAGGTGTTTCACGAATTGTAGCCTTTCTCTCCAAGGATCGAAAGGCGAAGAGTCAAGCGAAGTCTGACAGCGCTCCGGCGGTCGGTTTTCATTGGCCTGTCCGTCCTATAGTCGTTTGGTCGTTTGGTCGTTTTAGATCTAACGAGGCCGTTCAGAGTTCAAGCTGCAGAGGGGCCAGGGGGTGTTTCTTTTTTAAGGGGAGCCTCGACCAATAAGTTGTGGTCTATGTTTCTTCTTCCAGCAGGTCCAACATCGGGGGTCTAATGAACCCATATGACACAGTGATTTCGATGTAAACCTTACCAGAACACCAAAACACATAATACACAACAGGCAGCGCTGCAGTGGATAGCATGAGACCATGCGCTGCATCGCCGAGACTGAAACAAAAAATTCACCTGCCAGATGTGCAATCAAACATCTGCTCACCGAACACCAAAACACCTGCTCGTCTCATCTGCTCAGAAGGTGGATACCAATCCTGGAAAAACCACATTTCCGCCGTTTAAGACAACACCTGCACTATCCATTTTCCACCTGCTACGTTTCGACCGAACAAGGTGGTGGGCTCAAACAGCAACATCTGTTTTCTCAAGCAAGATCCATTAAAGGGTACCAGCTTTCCCCGGTCCAAACGCCCAAGTGTTAAACGAACATGGGTGAAGCAAGCAGCAGAGTATAGCAGAGTTGTTTTGTGTTTTTATATGTTTTATACCTGGTTTTGCTCAAGGTGATTTGTTATTTTCCCTTGCAGGGTAAATTCCCTTTTGGATTTTTTTCCTTTTTCCGGGGTCCTTAATGCAAGCATAGAGTGACTGCTCGTTGTTTTGTAGCTCTTTTCCTCGCGCGACTGGCGAGGTCGGCGACAGGTCGTCTACCCAACGGTGGACACGGAGGTCTGAAGGATCGACCCGAACCTTCGACCTGACAACTCCGTCAAAGGAGAAAACAAACACTTTATATAACTATAAACATCTATCAACCATTGTGTTACTGTGTTGTTTATATACATATATATATATATACATCAGGTTTATATCATCAGATAAAGAAACACTAAACAGCCGTTTGGTTTTCAATCCTCATTCCTTGTGTACCCTTGACTGTGGCTTTTCGACCTCTGCAGGCATGGCAAGCTGCCGGCTTGGGCCATGACCGTCGCCTGCAGCCTGTCACTTGGTGGAGTGGGGCCGGTTCGATGTATTCGGCTGAAAAGAGAACTGAAGGTTAACTTGTTGAGTTCATTTTTGAGTGCAACACAATGCATTTAGTGTGAAGGTTCATTAATTAAAAACACACACCATTTTAATATGTTTGCATGTTTTTTTTGAGTTCACACTATATTTTTAATTTGAAGATTGAGTGCTTGGATGTCAAGATGTTTCGATTCTGCTCACTGATTCCTTCAAATCCGACAGCCAAGCTGAAGAGCTGAATCGAATTCTGTTCCAGTATTCTCAACAAATTGCCATGCATTTTCCAGCTGGGTGAGCAGAGTTTGGACTGGAAATCTCACCAAAGAAAACCCCAGAGTTGGACACGTTTTACCATGCTGGCTGCCAATGGCTGCAGGCGCATGGGTCACTCAGAGGAAAGAAGCCAAACCCTAGGCCCTAGGGACCCTAGCCTTCGACGAGGAGGTTCACGACTCCAGACCCCACGACGAGCCGCCGAGCCGCACGAAGCGTTTTGGAAAAAGCGACGACCGAGGTCCATGGTTGCAGTGGGCTTTGCCGCCAAAGCGTGCAAGGACGCCGAGGAGCGGACGACGGTGTGGGCGAAGCACATGGGGACGAGAAACGCGAGGGGGTGTTGTAGGAGGTGTACACAGGCTCGCAAGTTCAGACTTTTGGGGACCTGCACCCCAAAACATCAGGCTCTGAAACTGAAGAATTTTGTTTTTTTCTATGATTTTTTTGCGCACAGTGTGAGTTTGACCATGCTTTTGCCAGGGTTCGTTTGCCATTTCGTTCAACGAAACTTTCTTTGTTCCTAGTGACCTTGAAACGAGCATTCAGAATGGTTAATGCGGGCCCGCCCACGATCCACTTGGATTGCCCACCAAGCCTGTTTGAGAGGAACATACACCAGGAATTTTACGCATGAAGTATCCCAAAAGCATCTTCCCCCGGGGCGCTCTGACCTTTGGGGAATCGTAATTTTTCACTGGACGAACTTCCAGACCCTTTTGATTCCACCTTCCGACCATCGATGGTCTGACCTACGCCCTTGGTTGGTTGATGAACAGAAGGGGACTTTTTCCCCTAAGAGCACAATCAATCAATTTGGTATATGACAGTACCTGGCACCGACCCCTCTAGTCTTCCCAAGTACGGACATCACTGATTCTGATCTTTGGTGCTTCCGGTTGCTGGCCCGGTGCTTGCAGAGGACATCCATCAGCCCACGCGCTGGGCGCGTGACGAAGAGGCGAGGCGAGACCGAAGCGATTGAGGCTGTTGCAGCGCGGAACACCAAGAGTCAGGTGGTATATATTCATCCACATACCTTCTCAGAAGGTACTTGGGCCCTCCAAGCCTACATAAACAGTCTCCAATCACCTTCTGACAAGGTACTTGGATCCCTAGGGCCCTAGGGATTATGTTCGTTATAATTTCATATACTATACGCGCGCCCTCCACACCGAAGCTGCTTTTCACAAGGTTTTAATTTACGGCTTTGTTTTTGGTGCCGCAGAATCACTTACTTGGTACAGTCCTATCCAAACCGCTGCAGTACAGCAAGCCCGCGCACAGATACTATCCGGGACCAAAGTGTTAAGTCCGTTATTGGTGCAGTATTGGTGCTCACTTTTGAGTATCACGTACTGCGAGGAACCACGATGCAGAAACCTGAACTGTGTCCAGTAATGAGCCTTTGACCTTGAAAGCCTTTGACCGCTGCTCGTTGAGACACCGAGACACCGAGCTGCCGGATAGCTGCGCGGAGCCCGGAGAAGAGGCGGCTGGGCGGTTCTGAGACTCCCTCCAAGTTCCCCCTCCAACAACTTGGTTTACCCGGCATTCGTGATCTAAGCTATTTTTCTGCATCCGCGTGATGCTAAGTTTAAGCTCTGTATTGAATGATTTATATATAGTTCCCAATTGCCGATCCGTCCTGTTGTTTCCTTGGAAATAGGGCATCCATGCTCAGTCGTTTGTTCGACAAGTTCTTCAATCGTGGGCATCCGCGAGGCAGCTCCCAGGCAGCGCTGCGCACATTGCATGTGCATGCTTGTGTGCGATGGCGCTGCATGGCTGTGGCCTTGTGCACCGCAGAGGTGTGGCATCAACGCTGCTCTGCACTGTCATCTCCCCACACGCCGAGCGTGGCACCCTCGAGGGCTTTGCCTTGCCAGCAGAGACTGATGCCGATGCATTCCTCACACCCTGGCCCGAGCTGAACTGCGCGTTTGGCTCGCCAAGCGGAAGCATCCAGCATCTCATCGTAAACAACAGCCTCAAGCGCAACCTTGCCTTGCAGCAGGCACTTGGTGCATCCTCATTGCACCGAGCTTTGTAATCTCGATGTCCATCACAGGTAAGTGGCTTGCTGCGCATGATCTGGAGTGCGGGGAGCATGCAGCAGGAGCAAGCTCGTCAGATTTGACGCCCCGTGATCATGAGGGCGTTCTCGAAGGGAGAGCCACCTGCACTGCGCCAAGCATTGGTGCATGCATCATGGATGTGCAAGGCCCTATGCCACCCCTGCCCTCATCAACATGGTGGCCGAGCAGGTTCTGCGAGAGCTCCAAGAAACCAAAAGCAACTGGACTGGCGAGGTGTGCAGCAAGCCCCCAGAGTCGGGATAGCCAGATGGCATTGCAGATAGCTTGGCTTGGGGCTCCAGGCCTACTCTGGCGGAGTCAGGCCTTGCATGCGGCATCACATGCGTCTCCGCTAAGTGGATCGTGCAAAGCAACCTCACCGCCATCACCGCGGCAGCCAGCGCAAGGCATGCGCGTGCACCTGCAGCATCTTCCAGACCGCTGATGAGCTGCCTGCTGGGCAGTTGGAGACTGTGGAGAGCGGTCGAGAGAACGACAGAAGCACGATGGTGCAAGGCACGCGTTGCTTCGGATGCTTGCAGCTCAGGTGTTCCTCGAGGTCGATTTGCAGCTGATCATTAGCCTTGTGGGGACGAACGATAGGCTGTGACACACCGGGGCACCAAGTTCCGAATTCGTGGCCTACCAGGCCTACCATGACTTCTGGGATCTTCTGCGGCCATGACCAGCGCCTCTCCTTTAAATACAAACGCTTTCCGGACCACAGGCCTGTCCATCCCAATCAACCGGGCCACTCACACCTGAGTTTCTGTTGCCACAAAGCATTACAAAGCCATTGAAGATTTGGTTTGGTCGTGGTGGGCCCTTACTGTGTGTTTCCGCTGTGACGAAATATTAGAAAAACCATCATTCCAGATCCCATGGTGGTCCAATTAAACCGTTGCGCTTGTGCAGCTTCATGGTCCCAAAAACGGGGCCCAAAATCTGGCAGGGCGGCACCGGTAGCTTTAGTTGCCAGAAAATATATCCAACTTTGGTGCCAAAACTTCGACTGAAGAAAACGTTTTTTCTGCGAGTGTTGGCATAACACTTTGCAACGGGTTGCAAGGAAAAACGGGCATTACGTTGATATCATTAGCACCGTCCATGTCTCCGCAGCACTTATGTGTATGCGTATATCATATACAGAATCATTGCCTGGATCTCTGAATGACCTGACGTGTTGCCAAGACTGACCCCCTGACGCAATCATCCCAGCCCGGGAAGAACGTCCTCCATCGTCGTGCATGGTTGCCAGGTTCGCCCAACACGTTTGCCGCGGCACCTGCGATTTTACTGGATACAGCGCCTGACTGTGGTTTGCAAGAGCTGGAGATCCAGGTGGGCCTATATGGCGGTTTGTAGTGTCATGGGAGGGTAACAAATTTGTGCATCATCTGGAAAAAATTCCTGGTGCTGGTGGAAACACTGCAACTTCTAGAGTCTGCAGTGACCAATGTCCAGTCTCCTGTGCAAAGGCTGCGGTGGATGACTTTCCACTTTTCACCAGGACTCGGACCCAACATTCCCTCCTGCTCAAAGCTGGTTGAGTCTCAGAAGGTGAGTTTCAGACACACCAGCAAAATCTTCTGAAGTCCGTCTCCAAGTTACGTACTCTTCCTTCGGTTAGACCGGTTAGGCCATTGGCCGTTCACTCAGAGTTCTCAAGAGATGACCATCGCATGCCGCAGCAAACACTGCCAGCAACTGATTGTTTTTTGGAGCGGTGATTAACCGAGTCGATTGAGTCTACGCTTAGCTAATCTTTAGGAAGTTCCCTCCGGACATTGGATCCACAGGGGTTGAACAAAGAGAGAACGTGCACACTGTTTCCCAACAGTCTTTCAGACGTTTCAGTCCTTTTCGGTACTTTTTGACTGTTTGATCTGCATGGCAATGCTTGACAGGCATTTGATCTTAATGGCCAGTGCGCTCTATGACTCCTACACCTTCTACAAGGGACTTCGAGTCACTGGGCTGGGGCTTCACTGGGAAAGTATAACATTCCAAAGTTTCTGTTTGGATGTAGGGTATGTACATACTATACACGTACCCCGACTTTTGGCTCAAGGGAAATAAGCGCGAGCGGCCGAGCTTTGAGCGTCCATATACATTTTCATGGTAGCGGAGCTCTTGGTTACGTTGGCCGCGCTTTTGATCCACTTGGTTGGCCTTTACCTGCCCGAGATTGTCGCCTCCATCGGTGTGCTGTCCGCCGCTTCGGTGGGCGCACGCTGGAGGTGGAATCAGAGGGCACTCCAGCAGCGACGAGTTGATCGCTGGCGGCGCCTGGTGCGCAAGATCTTCAGGATCCGCTCCCTCCGACGAGTTTGGGGGCATTTGGGCCACTTCCTGAACGACCGGAAGCGATGGCCACGGTTGGAGGGATGAGTGCACAAGAGCTGATCGACGTGGTACGACAGCTGAGGCAGGAGGTCACCCAGGGACAGCAGCGCGAAGCACGACTACAAGGGCAAGTTGAGATGCTGGTTCACGCTCAGCAGGCACAAGGAAGCGATCCAGGAGGACACTTCGAAGGTATGAGACAAGCGTTCACAGCCTTGGCGCAGTCACAGCAGGACCTCATTGAAAACATCAAGATGCCGAAGGACGCCAAGAAGACTATGAGCTTGGTCGACAATCGTGGACTAGCGAAACCGGACAAGTTCGACGGAAAGGAGGAAGGATTTTTGTACTGGCGCACTCGACTGGAGGCCTTTGTGACCTCGATCCATCCAGATCTAGAGGACATCATGCTGTGGGCTGAGGAGATGGACCATGAGATCATGTCGGCTGACATCAAAGCCGCTTGGGGCCCGTTGAACCCCAGTGAACGCGAAGTCGTGGACGTCGACAGCATGAACTCGCAGCTGTTTGCGGTGCTGCAGACGTTATGTGAACGTGAAGCTTTTCAGATAGTACGGAGCTCTGGAAAGCACAATGGTCTGGAGTCGTGGCGACGCCTGGTACGAAGACTTGACCCGGCCACCGGGAACCGAAGACGAGCAATGTTGAGAGCCATCCTCAACCCAAGCAAGGCGAGCAAGCTCGAAGACCTGTCGAACTCCATCGAATCTTGGGAGGAAATGGTAAGGCAGTACGAGCACAAGAAGAGACCGGACGGAACACGGCATCAGCTCGACGAGGAGATCCGCATGTCGGTGCTGGAACACTTGTGCCCCGGCGAATTGGAAAAGCATTTAAATTTGCAGTTGAATCGCTCAAGATTCACATCGTACCTGGACGTGCGCAACGAGATCGTGCTGTACATCGAGGCAAGGCTCGGGGCCAAGTTTCGAATGACCGATGCAAGCCAACCTCCCGGAGGGCAAGATCCACAACCCATGGATGTCGGAGCCTTTGAGAAGAAGGGCAAAGGAAAGAGCAAGAAAGGCAAAGGCAAAGGAAAAGACGGCAAGACGAAGAAGGGCGACTCGAAGGGCATCGGAAAGTGGCAGAGCAGCGGAAAAGGACAAGGATCCCAGGCCAAAGGCTCAGGTTCGCAAAGTTCGAAGACTTGCCACAGTTGGACTTGCCACAACTGTGGCAAGACGGGGCATTTTGCTCGAGATTGCTGGAGCGCTGGCGGCGGTGCGGCGAATGCGAACCAGAAGCCGAAAGGCGGGAAGTCTAATCCTAAGTCGAAGGGCAAAGGTGGCAAGCACATGTCCAACCTGGAGGAGTCCCCCGCAGAGCCACATGCAGAGCCGATGGATACAGGATGCTTCAGCCTCGCGGGACTCGAAGTAGAGATCGAGATCGACCCGGAGATTAAGCAAGAGCTGGAGGATGCAGATCGATGCATGAATCCCTGCGACTATTGCTTCTGCCAGAATTGCGGACTGGACGAAGGAGGACATGTTGAACACATCTGCAACTTGTGCGGCATGGATTGGGAAAGGTTCCTGGAGAACGAGGACCTGAAGTCCATTCGAGCTGCGCTCAAAATGACGAAGCCGGACGACTTCGAGTACATCGTGGACAAAACGATTTGCCTCATGAGGGGAATCTCACTGAAGACCTTCCAGGCTTATAAGGACGATGTGAAGGAGAAGTTGCGGAAGAAGGTCGACCCTGATGAGAGCTTGCGGAAGATGAACAAGGAGACATTGCAGCAAGTCGAAAAGCACAGGCAGGAACTTCGCTTGCTGTACTTCGAGAAGTTGACAGACGCGATCGTTGGGGAGAGTCGGACCTCTGGTCTAGGCCAGCCCCCGGGGTCCAAGGATGGCGGGACGAGTCAGACCGTTGGTCAGGCCGGCCCTGCATCCGGATCCAATGAGCAAGCTTCGAGCTCAGCAGGTCGTGTGGAGACGGAGGTGAAGCCCAGAGTGATGGAAGAGATGAGTCGAGCCTTTGGTTCGGCCGAGTTCCCATCAAGACCCGCAGGGTCATCATCCGGGACAGTCCTGCACCGAACCATCGGACAGATGGAAGTGGCGAACATTGACGCTACGATTCGCGAGAAGATGGCAGCGTGCGAAGAATGCGAAACGAAAGAAGAGGTTCAAAAGTTGGAAGCCGAAGTCATGGTGTTGAAGGCTAAGAAGGACAAGTTGAAAGAGAAGATTCACCGAGATGACCAGGTTACCAAAGCGAAAGCCAAGGCAGCACCTAAGCTCACCGCGGAGAACCTGAACGACCAAAGTTGGCACGATTCGCGGTATTATCAAGCTGTCAAGGCCGGTGCAAGCCATTCGTTGGCGTGGAGTCAAGAACGCAAGAGGAGGAAGGCGACCCTACATCGCCAACAAGGAGTTGCCGACCGTGCAGCCGAAAGAATCAGGATGGACAAGGAACAAAGCCTGTGAAGGAGGAGGAATTCGACAAGGAAGAAGACAACACGATTGAGACCGAAGCCGTGCAAGAGATGGACGACGGAATGGTGCGTGTTTTCACGGGCCAAGCAAAACGCGTGGCTCGAGGAAAGCTCAAGAAGCATCAGTTCTCCCGATTCTTCAAGTCTGCACGGACGTACCGGAAGCTCAGTCAGGAAGAAGTAGCCAAGTTCGCCGTGGAGACCAAAGACGACGAACTGCGAGTGATGGGCCGGAAGAGGACAGATGTTCTTCGCCGACGAGACCGACCCATGAGTAAGGAGAAGAAGGAATCCAGGAAGAAGCGTGTTCGCAAGGCAAGGGCACGCAAGCGCAAGGAAGAGGAGGAGAAGTTCTATCTGAAACACCCGCACGACAAGATGCGATGCTTCGATTTCCGGAGGTCCGAGATCGATCGCGAGCGCTACTTCCTGCAGAGCCGCCATGACGAGGTGCAGAAGGACCTGGATAACGTCAAGCTGACCCGTGGAGAGATCAATTCGTTTGCGGTGAACGAGCTGTCAGTCGACAAAAGCGGTTGGGTCAAGGTAACTGCAAACTTGGACACAGGTGCAGCCGTCACCGCGATCCCGACAGAGTTGAAGAGCCTGTTGGGGATGGAATCTGGAGATCCCAACGACGCCAGCTACAAGACCGCTTCGGGCGAGCTCATCGCGGACGAAGGTGGTGGAACGATCCGCGGCCTGAAGAAGGCTATGGAAGGAAAGTGGACGGTCGATTTGTGAACGTCCACAGGTTGCTCGTCTCAGGAAGCAAGGTGACAGCCCGCAACTTGGTTGTCATGGACGGAGAGCAAGGCGACATCGTTCCAAAGGATGGACCCATCGCACGAGGACTTCGAAGAGCGCTGAGGAGTTTGAAGCGCAAGTTCCCGAAGGACAACCGGGACACCACGAAGCTGTACGTGCACAAGGGCATCTTCTGCTTTGACCTCTGGTGCAAGGCAGAGCGAAAGACCGAAGGACATGAGACCATGGAGGAGCTCGCCGCAGTGGAGGCGGGTTTCCAGCGGCAGGTGAATCCGTAAGTCCGAAGACTCCGATGGGGGGAGTCGGTCCTTTGGACCGGCCGGACCCGCAGGAGCACCCTGAGGGGCGAATCGATCCGATGGATCGGTCGGCCCCCATGGAAGAAGAGGGCTCCAAAAGTGTTGAGGAGTCCAACATCTCCCACTGCAGAGGAGATCGAGGAGCATGAGGCGATTGGACACGCGATCCATCGCACATGGTGCGGACACTGCATCCGCGCCAGAGGGCTGCACGAGCAGCACAAGGCGACCCCAAGTCGAGACGACAGAGGATTGCCTACAGTGTCCCTGGATTATTTTTACTTCGGGGGCGAAGGCAGGGGAACGGAAGGAGAACTTCCAAACCTGCAGGTGAAAGATGAAAGTACAGGGATGCTATGGGCATCCACCATCCCGGCCAAGGGAGCCGATGCTTTCACCACGAATTTCGTGTTGTCCTGTTTGGACGAAATGGGTTACAGGAGGATAATCCTGAAGAGCGACAACGAAGTGTCGATCAAAGCGCTGAAAGACAGCATCAAAGCGGCAGCTAAAACAGAGCTCTCCCTCGAGGAGGGGAAAACGGGCGATAAGCCGTCCACGGGAAGTGTTGAGTCCGCCGTGAAAGAGACCAAGAGGCAGTGCAGAGCCATGAAGAGCGCGTTGGAGGAGAAGCTGGGGAAAAGCATTCCCGATCGTCACGCCATTTGGACGTGGCTGGCCAGACATGCATGCTTCCTCATCTCGCGCTATCGTGTTGGACCCGACGGGCGCACGCCATACGAGAGGTTGAAAGGTAAGAGATGGAGGCGACCCTTGGTTGTCTTCGGAGAGCGAGTGCACTTCAGACCGCTCCAGAGCTATGTCTCCGGAAGATCTGATTTGGCGCCAAAGCTGGACATGGGAGTGTACGTCGGTACACATGGAAGAAATGGAGATGCTTTGGTCATGACAAAAGAAGGCGTGATCAAAGGAGGCAGCTTGAAGAGGTTGACGGTTGAAGAAAGATGGGCCGACGTGGAGCTCTTCAAAGGAACACCCTGGAAGATGAGGCCGAAGTCCGAAGAGGACGTCGAGGCAGCCGCTGTACGGATTGAACTTCCGGCAGCTGAAGGCAGGCTCATGCCTGAGCCGGTGGCTCGAGACAGCGGGCCAAGGAACCTCTACGTCACACGTCGTGACGTGGAAGGAAACTACACGGCAGGATGTCCTGGATGCATAGCGATTCAGGTTGGGCTGCCAGCCAGGGCGCATTCGACAGAGTGCAGGACCCTGGTACAGAATCGGTTGATGGCGACCGACGAAGGCAAAGAAAGGGTGGCGAAGGCCCAGAAGCGAAAGGAGGGAGGAGCGGCTCCCAAGGTAGTGTTGGCCGATATGCCCGATGAGGCAGAAGAGATGCATGCACCAGATGGCGTTGGACAACCCGAGGAACGAGTTGACCCTGTGGGTCAGCCGGTCCCAGGTTCAGGAACGGGACGAATCGATCCACTCGATCGGTCGACCCCTCCAGTGTCTCGTGCGGCGGAAGGTGCAACAGGGGATGAATCTCCGGCCAAGAAAGGAAGACATGCGACCGTCAAGAAAGCCAAGGTTCAAACCACGCGCGGTTCAAAGCGCGGAGGAGGGGATCTCGACGATCTCTATGGAATTGAGCCTCCGAGAGAAGGGGAGATCGAGCTGGAGAGAGGACCCAGTTCATCCTCGAAAGGCGAAGCTGCAGTCGCGAGCCCTGCCAAAGAGCAGGAAGAGAAAGTGGACAAGAGTCCCATGCCAGCGCCAGTTCGACAGCTGGTGATCGAGACGATTTGCAATCTCGAGTTGGCGTCATTCCTCAACGAGAAGATGTTTCCAGAAGCCAGTTTTGCAGAGTGCAAGAACGTGAGCCGCGAAATGCTTCATTTAGGTGCAAGTATAGGGCACATGTCGCTGAGATATATAATCCAGAACGTTTCACTTCGAGGGCAAACCAATTTGGTCTCAGCCCCGGATTTGCAATTGACATGGAGTTGCAGAAGCCCAATGGAGAGTATTGGGACCTTTCGAAGAAGGCCGATGAGCAAGAAATGAACAGGCTTTTGGATCGGCACGAGCCGGCATGCCTCATTGGCTCACCACCTTGTGGACCATTCTCACCACTGCAGAATCTTAGCAAGGACAAAAGAACCCCAGAAGAAACCGAACGAATCAGGCAAGAAGGACTCACACACCTTCGAGTAGCTTGCAAAAGTTATCTCAAACAGATGAATGAGGGGAGGATCTTCTTGCATGAACACCCGAAGGGTGCCAGCTCCTGGAAGGAACCCGAAATGCAGACGCTGATCAACGACCCCAGAGTGATTCAGGTCGAAGGGCCGATGTGTCGTTGGGGCATGAAGGCGACAGATCAACAAGGTGAAGGGTTTGTGCGCAAAGAGACGCGCTACCTTACGAATTCTGTCGCAATTGCAGCTGCATTGTCGGGTCAATGCAACGGAGGACACAGACATGTTCATTTGGTGAACGGCAGAGCCAGGCAGGCGCAGAAGTATCCTCCACGCATGGTGGCAGCGATCCTGCGCGCGATCAGACAGGAACTTCATTGGCGTGGAGAGCTCAATGAACTATCAGTCGAAGGGTCTGGACCTAGTCCAGATGGAGAAACGAACGAACCCAACAACAAGTTCGATGCTCCAGTAGAAGATCATGAACAAGCCGAATACTTTGACACAGTCACTGGAGCTCCATTGCGCAAAGAAGCAGTTCTTGCCGCCAGGCAAGAAGAGCTGAGATGGGTTCACAAACAGCAGATCTACGTCAAGGTTCCGATTGAAGAATGTCATCAGGCCACTGGCAAGCCACCCATCACCTTGAAGTGGGTGGATAAGAACAAAGGAGACAATGAGAAAGAAAACTACAGAAGTCGCTTGGTGGTCAGAGAAGTCAAGAAGCCAGGTCAGACTGTTCCAGAATGCGAGAGCTTTTCAGCGATGCCTCCACTCGAGGCACTCAAGGCACTTTGTTCACTCATGACTTCGATGAAGGTCAGCCGACGTGGAAAAGTGCTCAAGCTCAAGTTGCTGGACATAAGCCGTGCTCATTTTTACAGCGATTCTCAACGAGCTGTATATTGCACACTGCCTGAAGGAGATGAGACCCCAGGTCATTGCGCCCGTCTTGTCAAGACGATGTACGGGACGCAAGACGCAGCATCAATTTGGCAAGCGACCTACAGCGAATCACTTCAAGAACACGGCATTCAAGCTGGAACGGCATGGCCATCGATATTCTATGACACGCAATCAGACGCGAGATTTCTTGTGCATGGAGACGATTTCCTGTTTTTAGGAGATGAGGATGCACAAAAGCGGATTGCCACCATTTTGGCAAAGAAGTTTGAATTTCGTGTCGACGGATGCGTCGGACCTGAAGAGTCAGATGGCACGGTGATGAGCGTGCTCAATAGGATTTTGGAATACAACAAGTCCACAGGGACGTTGACATACGAAGCTGATCCTAGACACGCAGAGATCATTGTGAAACAATTGCAACTAGAAGGCGCTCGAGAAGTGAGCACACCCTCGATAAAGCAGACGGGGGAAGAGGCGTTCATTGAAACGCCGCCTTTGAATCATGAAAAACCCTGAGCATCGGATATTGATCCTAATCAATAAACCGAAAAAATATCAATATTTTTGATTTGCCAAAAATATTGAAAATCATATTGATTTTGATATTGATTCCGGTATTGATTTCTGGGCAGCTTCGAAAAAGCAAATTTGATCAAATTTGATCAAATTTGGCTGGTTTTTGATCAAATTTGATCAAATTTGATCAAGCTGACCATGTTGCTGTTTATTGAATTTCCTATTGATTTTTGCTTGGCTTTGAGGAAGAATTTCTATTGAAAAAGCACGCGCCCAAATCAATAGAAATTGTTGATTTTTTTCAAGAATATTGATTAGGATCAATATCTGATGCTCAGGGAAGCAAAGATCTACAGATCGTTGGTGATGAGAGCAGCCTATTTGAGCCTAGACAGAGGAGATCTATGTGAAGCTGTGAAAACATTGGCAAGGTCTATGTCCGTTCCCGACGAAGATTCTTGGGCAAGATTGAAACGCTTGGGCAGATACCTGCTAGGCAAACCTAGAGTTGTGCAAGAGTTCAAACCGCAACGGATGTACACCAAGATCCGAGCTTTCACAGACAGTGACCATGCTGGATGCGTTCGCGCAAGAAAGTCCACCACCGGACTGGTCCTGATGTGTGGACAGCATACCTTGAAGTCTTCATCAACTCTGCAAACGACGATATCGTTGTCTTCGGGCGAATCGGAGTATTACGCCATCGTTAAAGCAACGGCATCGGTGCTCGGGATACGAGAATTGTTCCGAGAATGGGGAGTTGAGTTGGACTGCATGGTTCTTTCAGACTCCAGCGCAGCTAGAGGAATGTGCAGTCGACGCGGGCTAGGCAAAACAAGGCATGTACAGACCCGCTACTTGTGGGTTCAACAGAAGCTCAAAGAGAAAGAGTTCGAGTTGGTCGCGGTAGACACCGACAAGAACGTTGCCGACTTGTGCACCAAGCCTTTGAGCGCGGAAACCTGTTGGAAGCACATGCATGCTTTGGGCCAGTTCGCAAAGACCGGCAAGAGCACAGCTGCAAAAGCCGTGGAGTGAAGATTCATCTGCAAAGCAGAAGAATCTTAGGAGGGGTGTTTGGATGTAGGGTATGTACATACTATACACGTACCCCGACTTTTGGCTCAAGGGAAATAAGCGCGAGCGGCCGAGCTTTGAGCGTCCATATACATTTTCAGTTTCAGTCTCTTATATGGTGCGCGTTTTTAATTATCCTGGAGTAGATAGGCATGACAAAGACACACAGTAGACAGGCTCCCAACATATTTTCAGAAGTCCTCCAAAATGGATGAATCTGATACTCCGGAATTGACATGAATTGAATGGTGATGGGGATGGGTTCGAACCCGGAACACCTAGGTCAACCCGTCGGTCTCCTGGATTCTCCTGGTGCTAGGTCAAACCACACCATGTGATTCACCATGGAAGAAAACGGGAGAACCTATTGAATAGAATCATGAATCTATTAGAATCTGTTTGGTGAAGACAGCTGGTTAGGGTCTCATCTCATTGGGTGTCCCGTTGGATGGTCCCAGCTACTGGCGGACCGGTCGTCACGACCGGTGGCGACTCGGTGTGAGGAAACCACCTGAGTCCCCCCACGAAACAAATGATGGTTCCAATTGGTTCCGATCGTTTTTTGCATATTTTTCGATCCATTCTCTGGAAGTAACACCTAACACCAAGTAACCTCACTGAGGCTTCCAAGGAAGCCTTGAGCTCACAAGCCTATGACTTCTTTACGCCACACGGCAGTGATGATCCAAGCACTGTTTTTGTTGTCCATTTGAATCAAAAGCAATCAAACACATGGTAGATGAGCAGCTTTGTATCAGTTTTTGTTGTCCTTTGTCCATGATGTTTGGTCGCTTGGAACTCTCCTCAGTACAGACAGGCTTGTTCAAGGTGACAGGACCCAAAGCACCAATTGAAGGCATGAGTTGGATTGCCTTGCTAGGGTTGTCACCAATATCGCTTCTTGTGCCAAACCGGCGACACGAACTCGTCACCGGGCTTCCAGCTTCCTCCGCAAGAACACCCACCACTCGGTTCTCTTCAACGGAACAATCCCACTCCTTGTTACTAGGAGAGAGGAGTTCCTAGTAGTAATGCACCTTGCTACCTGAGTAGCTTCTTTTTCCCAGTAGTAATGCCCTTGTTACGTTTGTAGCGATGCACCTCAGTAGCTCAGTAGCTCAGTAGCTGCTCTTGTCTCTTCCGTTCCCGATCCCGAGGATTTTGATCTTCGCCATGTTCACGGCCTCCATCAATGCGATGGCCTTGCTGCCTCTGGGACGTCGGACGCCGACCCGGCGCGGGAGGACCAGGGAGGACCAGGACGGGAGGACCGCGCTTGGTGCGGAGGAGCACCACTGCAGTTTCGATGATCAGGTGACATGAGGTGACTAAGGTCCCGAATAAAGAGGGGTGGAATGCCTGATTTGCCGAATTTGGCATGTGTGCTTTGGGATGACTGAAGTCCAGTTCCATGGAATCAAAGCAGATGGTCAGTTGGCGACCAGTTTAAGGAACCCCCTCCGCAACTAGCATTGGCCAAAAGGAGCTATTATCATTCAGAATGACGGTGAAATGGAGGTGAACTGTAGTTAGGAGCCCACTGCTTTCACCAGTTCAGAGGAAGCTTTGGAGGTGTTCTGTTGGTGAAACTACGGTGTCTCCGACGTCTCCGAAGACAGCGGTGAGCTGGGTCCAGGTGGGTTCGCATGCGCCTCGGTGTCTCAGCCTGCCTGTGGTGCACGCCTCGAGTGTCTCACAGGAAAAACGCCACTCTCCAACACAAAGTTGAAGTTCTGATGTTCGGAATGACTAAAACAACTGGCACCGAATTCCAGGAATTGGCCAGGCAAGTGCTGAACATACACGGACTGCTGTGAGGAGAAAAAGCTAGCACTGGACCACCTGCGACCGACCTCACTGGGATCAGGTGCAGAGAAGGTACTTTACCGATTTCTGGATCGCAAAGACCCAGACACTCATTGACCCTCCTAAGTATATAATTAAGTAGGAGCCAAACCCTTAGTATGGAGGGATCCCGATGGTTTGAGGGACCAAGGGTTGTGAAGGGAGCGTTTGGGGTGTGGCGGTTTTGCTGTCACGAAGAACATGAAACCCGACTTTTCAAGCTCGAAATCGCTCAATTCATCTCAGTCGTTGACAACAACTCTCCTCCCATCTTCAATCCATGACACAACTTAGTGGGGCATAGCTCCCACCCGATCAGTTGTGGTGGTTGATTTTCGAGGTCATGTGGGCATATCTTCCACCCGAATACTCCATGTATGGCATATTTACATGCACTGACCCTGAAATCAACCACCCCTAAATGTACTGGTATAGGGTTTCATTTGCCAGCCATGTTCGGCAGACATGTTGCACAGTTGGAAGGTCCAGTTTCAATTTGGAGGTTAATGAAGGGGTTTGAAGGGTTTGGGTCTAGATTGATAGGTTACTTGGTTCTGGAATTCACTTGGGGTAAGTATAGTATACAAGCAGCCAGCCCCTGGCCATCCCGGCTCCAATCAGGTTGGACTACTTCCGGGTGCGCTTGCCCGAGCTTGGAGATCGGAACTTCCGCCTCAGTCCACTGGTCACTTTTAATGAGACGACGAGATGAGTGAGACGAGACTAGGGAAGCCCCCGAAAAAGGCTGGGTCGTTCAGCAGGCGGAGGAAACCAGAGTGTTGGGTTCAGAAAACTGTTGGGGGATAGATATTATATAGACGATATTGGGGGACGAGAGTCTTAACATCCAAAGAACTCAGAAGAGTATCATGGTTTTGGTGAGGGATCAACATGTATTGAACTTGTTTGGGTTTTGACCACATTGTGTGTCCCCTAGGGGCTCCAGTCGTACCTTCTAAGAAGGTGGGACTGGGGTGGATTTAGAGGGTCCAGTCATACCTTCTGAGGAGGTACGACTGGAGCCTTAGGGGCCCTTGGATTGCTTGGGAAGCGTCGCTCCCGGATCCAGGAAAACGTCCTCGTACCACGTGTTACTGCGCAGAACTTCAGACTGCGCAGTGCACGTAAGTAAGGAGTGGCGTCTCGAACCAGCTAGCAGCTAAGGACCTTCGACCGTCCTTGAGATCCCAGTGGCGGGTCGGTCACTACTTAGTCCCTGAAGAGGTCACTTACAGACTCCAAAGAGGTCACGCATACTGAAGCTCCTGGTGTGTGTGCATTCAAATGACTGGCCCCCCTTGCGACCTCTTGGAAGAATAAATATAGACCCAACACCTATTAATTAAACTACACACCTAAATAGAAGTGCTGACTTCGACAGAAATTCGAAGAGTTGAGCGGCAAAGTCTGAAACACATCTGGTCAGGAACTCCTTTGAACAACATCTCAATAGAAGTCACCCTTAAAAAACAGGTCTGACCACCGACGTTGAAGTCGTTTCAGAGACCCGCTCAGAGCCAGCTGTAGAGTCGGCGGCCGGAACGGCCGGAACGCCGTTCCTAGGGCTCTCATGGGCTCTCATCATTCTGCTTGGGATCATGTGCTTCCAAGCTCAAGCTGTGTTTGTAATATGATGGGTGCTGCTGACCAAGAACAGAACCCAGGATGAAACATCGTAACTCGCAACACATCTCCCTCTCATAGTGAATTCACCCTGCCGGCTCAACAAATTCTCAACTGCTTGGGATCATGTTTTGTTGCTGACCAGTATCTAAATCGTATGTTCTTTTTGGTGTATATACATTTTATACATCGGAGAGACATGTGTGGAGTGTGGAGACTGTTCAGGACATTCGTCTCGGAGGGTCCAATTTCTTTTCTTCCGAGGTACTCTTTGCAAGTGTTTCCTGCTTTTTCTGAAACTCCGGGTGCTCAAAGTGCCTTTGACGGTCTATGTGCAAATGGCGCCTTTGACTGCCACGGCGCGGTTTTCGCTGTGACTGGTGAGTTTAGGTGGATCCTTCGGAGGGACATTGCACGGCTTGAGACAGATGACATGAAGTTTGATACCCCCTGGCCCGGATAAGCTTGGACCTTTTGGAGGGATGGGTTTCCACCAGAAGTCATGGCTGTTGCTCTCCACTTGAACAAAATGAAGCAACAAAGACAATGTTAGCACCTCTACCAAGCCGAAGAACTTCCAAATAAGTGCTTCTTTGGCCAAGTGCTCCTTGAAGAAAACGAGTCCCCTGAGACAGGTTCCGGAACCTGTTCCTGCATGCAGTCCCGGCATCCCCGGAGGATCTCACCCTCCACCAGTTCGGGTGCCTCCACCAGTTCGGGTGTCACTGCTGGGACTGCAGACGTATGACACTTGGTGAATCCACGAAACGGGTGAAGTTGTTGTTCCCCCCCGGTTGCTTAAGCAAATCCAAGTAGTTATAGATTTTGACTGATTTGGCATGGTATGTCAAGTCTTGTATGATCCAACCATCGCTGCTTTCTTCGTGCCTTTTGTTGCTGCACCTCACTTTTTTTGGGACCAATTCTCATTCGTATCCACCTTTCGGTGGTTGTCATGTTTAGTCTGAAAGAAAGACGACACAGTCTGGCTAGAACAGCCTTTGGTATATCATATCTCCCGGGGTCATCGTGAAACATCACAACCCGGCAAGGACTCGACTTGGTTGAGTGAGATCTCAACCTATCCCAGAGTCCTGGGCGAAAGGATTCCGCAGCTCAGCCCAGAGTCTTGAGCGGGGTCGGGGCGCTCCGCCCTGGGCTGGGAGGGACGTGGGCCTGGGTTCGAGGGAGGGACGTCTCCTCCACTGGATTTGCAAGAACAGGTCCTCCACCGGATTTCATGGGAAAGCAGTTGATTTTTGGTATCTCGAATGTGAGAAACAGTGAGAGAACTTCTCCAACACCAAACAACATACTCCCATTGGGGTCAATCACCTTCTAGCAAACACGTGTTTTTTTCTCCTGTTCCTTCCGCTCAAAATCCACTGCCACCTTAGAAGCGAAGCTACAGCTGGACCCTCACTTCGGCTACATATATAGTCTCCCTGCTCACCTGCTCAGAGGGTAACTGTGTGTGGATCCACAGGGTTAAGCAGCAAAATCCAGGCCTCCGCGGCCGCTCTCAGCATCCGAGGATTTGGATGTGTGCCGATCCGGGGCTGTGCCCGTGCCTAGGGCGTTGAATGTCATATGACTGGGGATGACTGGGGTGATTGGGGGTGACAACTGTATGGAAGCACTTGATGTATTTATAAAGATCTATCTCGGATCTCTTTCCCTACCCCCAAAGTCCTTGCACCCCAAGGTTTCGCTTTAAACACTTCTGCTTCCTCTCTACGCGTGTTTTGTTTGCAGATATTATATTCTTGTCTTTCGAGACTTTTTCTTGCTTCTATGGCAACCGGATGCTGGTAGTGCAGGGCTCCGGCCCTGCATAACCTTCACCTTCCTGACTGCAAAATTAACAACATTACTAACTAGGACATAATTGTTCTTACGTCCTAGTAGATTGGGGCCCTTGGTGACTTCGAGCCGGAGCCGATGGAGAAAGACGTCCAAGCACACGATCATCATATTCAAAGTTCTTGTCCAGGCTCTCAATAATCTTGGAGCAAGTTTCCTCCTTTTCCACGTCTTCGACAGGGAAGTCCTCAAACAAGCGCCAAGTCACTCCTTAGAACGATCCAAGAATATTGAATATGCTCTCGCCGTTTTATCAACAAAACTCCACTCTGAGCTTTAGACCGCGGGGGCATGTAGCGGCACGTAGTAGTGTAGGGTGGTCATTGGACACCCATTGGATGGTCCCGGTAGTATATGTTCTAGTACTGCGCAGCTGGGACCGGTTTTTGACACGTGATTTCTAGGGTTCTGAAGCGCACCACGACGGGCGATTCACCACGCGCGACGTTCAGCCTCACTACGCCGACGAGGCTGAAATGCCGCCATGATTTGGGAGGCACTTGCAGCTACACCAATCAGCCCGCCTATGGGGGCTGCTTTTGCGAGCAGCAGGGCATACGTTTGGGCGGTTGAAAAGGCCTTCGGGAACAGAAACACCCAACATCAACTCAGATATTTATAGACCCCTGAAATAGATAGAAAAGTAGATCCCCGCGTAGAACATGTGGCATTCAACACTGTGCAATCCCATGCCATAGGCGGGGATCCCCCAAATCCAAATCGGATGTTTCGCTCACAGCATACTGTTTCGCATGGATGACCACATGAGAGCCCGCTCCTTGGAGCGGTTTGTGACCGGATGGAGCGCCCTTGGGCCCCGGAAGAACCGTGGCCGTCGGTCGAAGCAACACTTCATCCGGAGCAAGAAACCGTGGCCCTGGGCCTGGAGGAGTTCGGGACCTGGTTGGTGGCCCCTTCGTCACTCTCAAGCTATATCAGGCTATGTCATTCAATATCATATCATTGCATTGTATATCCACGTCTATTTCCCCAAAAGTTCCGTGTCTATTTCCCAGGTTCAGTGAGGTTCGATGATCATGGAATGTCATGGAACTCCCTTTTTGGCTGCTACACTTGGATTTGTCTTCATGGTCGAACTCGGTTTGCGGGTTGGCTTCAGGTATTTCTCGACCGGCATCCCAGTGCTGTTCCTTGGCTGACAGGTATTGATCCCAAAGTGGGGCCACGGATTTGAAGCGCCATTTGTATCTGCCACTGTTCGAGTTTTGAACTCTTTTGCAGGAGAGTTTCGGACTTTTGGACCAGAAGATGTGTTCCATATATGTAGGATTTCTTTGTTGTTTGCATGTTCTGTTTCTTCTGGGTCCACGTTTATTACTTGGGAGGTCTTCACCAACTGGAGGGATGCCTTTCAATCTCATGGTATGCCTTCTGTTGTCATTCCTCATTTGAGGCTTTTTCCATTCAAGGGTCCAAAATGATCCAAGGGTCCGAAACCAGGTATATGGGAAAATACATGAAAATACATTTTGGATGATTGATTTGTCGGCCTACTGTTGACCACCCCTCAAGTACCTAGGTCTGACCGTTTCATGGTCTTTGGGAACTGCTTCATCTCCGCCTGTGCCATCGCCCTGTTGACCAACTCGCGCATGAGGACTCGGGGCGTGCCCCTTGCCAATCAGGATGGTGAAATCAGGGTATCGATTATCGATCATCCATGATCATCCCCAAAGCTCGGCAGGATAGGAACTCCCATTCGTTGGGTTACAAACTTGGTTAAACCGACCAACCTGGCAGCATTTGGCAGCCAAGAGTGTGTTCTTGGCAGTCGTAGAGCTTCAACAGTATCAGCTTCAGATCTTGTCATGTGGAAGAATTCCACACCGCAGAGGTAACTGGCCACTGGCTTTGTGTATACACCTGCACAGTGGTTTGTAGGGATTGAAGGATGGGATTCCAATCCGGCATCAGGAGCACAAACTCAAACCACGGTATACTGTATACACAAAGAGGCACACAGTATATATATATACCCTGGGGATCCACGGGATCCACATACCTTCTCAGTTTCGGTACGACTGGGCCCTCCAAGCCTACATAAATAGTCTCCAATCACCTTCCAAGGTACTTGGATCCCTAGTAATATATATATTTATATATATATAGTATATACGACGTATTATGTGTCATATACGCATCATTCATGTTGGTTGTCTCAGGTAGTGGGGTTTTCCTTCAGCTGGGTATAGCCTTTCATGTGTGCAAGTGCAACTGCCCAAGAACAAGATGCTGAGACAAGAACAAGACCTCCATGTGGTGAGTGGGCCCGATGCCCATCTTCGTTCTTTTCAGTTGGCATCGTTCCCAAGGGCTCCTGGCCCATATACTCAGGTTCGGTGGTTAGACCCCCCTGGCACCCACCCACCCCCAACCACCGAACCGAAACGGAGGTAGGCCAGGAGCCCTAGGGGTTCAACCTCGTGGCCGGTGTGTTCTTCACACCAACGAACTCAAACCATTTGGCGAACTCGTCCGGTGAGCCCGTTTTCGGTCCAGCCTTTTGGATCGTTTTCCACATGATCTGCACAACTGCTGTGGATCGATCTGATGTGGTATTTTCCCGAACTGGGTGAATCCTCAAACCTGGGTGAATCCCCAAACCTGGGGAAGATGATGGAAGATGGGATTTCTGGGTTTCCGCCGCACCTGGTTTTGGGCCACAGTGGTTCCGGCGCCGGTTCCGATGCCGGTTCGCCAACTCCTGGAGGTTTCGGTACCCCGAGTTGTCCCTCTTCGCGCTGGGGTGCTCCACCTTTCTTCCCACCGTGCGGGTACTGAGTGGTTTCGAGTCGGAGAGAAAGCAGGAAGGAAGACGGACAAAGGGGAGGAGATCGGTGTGGTTTTTGGAAGCCACCCAAAAGGTCTGAGAACACCTTCATGGATCTGCAGGGCCTCCGGTTTGGGGTGATATTGCAAATACAGTATAATATAGTTATTTATACATGGTATATTGACCCCTTAGTGGGGAATGGACCCCCCCAAAAAAACATCTCTTGGTGGGCTATTATTAGACACCCCTCAGCTGTAAAGCCCTGGCATATCTGGTTTTTGTCTTGTTTGTGCGGTTTCCTGCGGTTGATCCTGGTGGGAATGGTTTTGTCGTGGAACTCGAAGCTCCTTCGTCAGCAAGAGTGAGGAAAGACGGCCCTGTGGAAATGGGTGGAATTGACTTGGACACTCGGGCTGCGAAAGCTGGTTGAAGCATCAAATTATGAGATGCACTCGTCAGTCAGTCTCTCACATGGAAGTAGAAATAGGCCCCTGGAAGACAATTTTGCTTGCTAAAAAGGAGGTGGATTTTCCACTTCAGAAGTGAGTCAGAGAGTAACACTCCATTCATCTCCATTCTTTCGGACATTAGAAGTCCCTTTTCTGCCTTGTGTTGGCCTTTCCTTCCCGGACACCCAGTCCCAACCAGAAACGGTCAGTTCTGGTTGTTCCTGCAAGCCAATTCGATCCACATAAGCCGGAAGCGGCTGCGTCCGCTGCCAGGCATTCATCGCGTTGAATACGATCTACCTCTCAGTACCTTGGAGCTGAGCCGGATCCACATGCCTTGCGTATCTTCGAAGGTATGTAAGATCCCTAGAATCCTAGCGTTGGATCCGGTCATGGAATTTTTGTAAGGGGAATATGTCTCCGGTAAGTTCAGCTCACATCCTTACATCCCAATCTTCATGGGAGTGATTGGGGTCGTAGGGGTGGACTGGTGATGCTGTTGGTCTTTTCCCAGCCCGGACTGGTCGGAGTCTACCTACAAAAGTTGACATAGGTGCATACACTCTGTTGGGTATGAGGTGTGGTTTCTTGCAAGGTCACGTTCGGGAAACTCAAAGGAACATCAAGGAATTGCAGGGTTTGGGACGACTTCCGGTGTCTTGAATCCGCGTCGCGGTCTTGGGTCCAAGCTGTCCATGGTCTCACTCAGTGGGCGAAACCAACCAGGAGAGGTTGCTGTACATCTCTGAGGACAATGTTCTGTAACGGATGACATCCGATGACCATGTTGTGATGACATGAAGCTGTTGTGATGTTTGAGGCACCCCTGGCACCCTCCTGTTGACCGGTTGCAAAGTTGTCTACCTACAGAACCTAGACACCACTTGATATAGAGAAAGACGTGACAAGACATTTTTTGGGTGGTGGGTACTAACTCCAAAGCAAATGTCAAACGTGGTTCTACTGTAGGATTCTAGGCTGTTCCAAGTCTATGTGATACGATATACCCATTTTGCCCAAACAACTGTTCCTCTCAGAGGTTCTTTTTCGAATAACGAAGACGGTGTCTCTAGAAGTTGCGAGTGTCTCTCTCTCTCTCTTTTTCCAGACACGACCAATAAGACTGGCATGTGAAACCCTACGTTGGGGTGGTTGAAACGTTTGTACCCAGTCCCATGGAATGGGACTCGACTTGGGCTAGTGGTGTGCCTGGACTCGTGGTGTCATGGTTTTTGGTCTAGTGACCCCTCTGATGCAAAACGATGTAAGAGTTGGTGAGAGATATAGCCTCAAGACTCCGTGGAGCCTCCATAGCAAGGGTCGATCTCTCCAAAAGAGAAGGGGCTCAAAAGAGGCCCCTCAAAAGCATAAGTGTTTGGTTGGGCTAAATCTGACATCAGATAGAACATGATAGAACCAAGAGATTCAGCTCCTCAGCGAAGCGCCGTTCTTCGCTGCCCAGGTGCCAAGTCTGGCAGCACGACATTTGCGATTCCCCAACGACTTCCTGGTGCTGACGATCCCGGCCGGCCGGTAGTCCTTTTTTCGCGCGTCAGTCGGACGTATCACATTTATTTGAAGGCCATGTAGTTCTTTTTCTCCAGCAACATGTACATAGGTGTTGTTAGAACTTAAATGTTTGTTCTCCATCTGACCAATACAACGTTCACTCCCGATGTCAAGAACTCCTCCTCCCACATTTCCCGTTCACTCCGCCGTTCACAGGCGCTGATCTTCATCTTGATGGCCAACGAGATGGCCAGGCGACGTCTGACCACCGGAACCGGACGACGTCTGACCACCGGAACCGGGCGGGGAACCGGGCGGTTCGGTTCGGGCGGTTCGACCGAGTCCAGGCGTTTGGAGACCGCGTGGAAGCTGCGGCACCTGGCGCCATATGAGCGGGTGACGCTCAGCTGGTGCGAGAGCGCCTGGCAGGCGAGATAGAAATCGATGAACAGCGGCGCCCTTGGGTTTTAGGCATACCTTATCACCAAGAATCATGTGCCGAACAGGGACTCGAGGTATGTTTTTGGGTTTTTGGATGGTTTTGTTTTCCCTTAACCCCTCGGCTACGAAGCTATTTCTTGTACCTTCTTGGTTTGAGGATGTTTAAAACGAGGTCACATTTTTGGCCTACTTTGGCAACCGAAGAACCACGTCGGAGCTGACTGTACAGACATCTGCTTTCCTGCTGACCTCGCAGACCTCGCAGGTGGTGAATTGCCATGGCTTGGATCACCTCAACGGCGCTCGCGTGGAAGCCGTGGACGACCAGAACCGTTCCCTGCTCGAGCGCCCCGACGCGCCGCAGGGCGCGCGGGGCGCGCGGGGCTCGGAAATTACGGTACAAGGCCCTGCGGTGTTGCTGAGCAAAGATCCGCCCAGGCAGGGGTGGAAGGGATGAGGGATGATGAGGGCGAAGGAAAAAGGTCGGTCAGAGAAAAAGGACCTGGGGCAGGAGTCGGCAGGACCTTCCAATTTGGGGATATTTTTGGGGTGTGACTGATCTTGTATACGTGTTCAACAAATGGATCCGGGTGCCTCAACTTGAGAAGTTCCGAAGTGGGAGACCATCCTTGATTAGGACTGGCCCGGGTTCCCCTGCCAGGATGAGGGAAAGTGCTTGAAGACCGATTCGTGAGCTTGAGGGAAGTTCCTGGGAGATGTTGAATATATTACTATAGGATTGGCTGAGGCGCGTGGCTCCAGACGGTGTGCGATACAAGTGAAGCACACGTGGACCGGCCAAAAAACCATCGATTCCCGGCCTAGGATCTAGAATCCCTGGGGTGGAGGAATCTTTTTTGTTCGCATCAACCCAACAGCTTCAGTACAAGGCACAGAGTTTCTCATTTCTCACTCTTATTAAGAGCGAACTGACAAACATACATATATATGGCTTGGGAATGGTTGGGATGAGGGTCAACAAGTTGTGGGGTTAGTTTTGGTAGCATGCTGTTTTTATCCATTTTTGATTCACTTCCCCAGTACTTAAGCAATTCCCAAAAGCATCCCATTATACATCCTAGTTTGCACCCCAAAATACCCTTCGGAACGTGGCGCCTTTCTTCACAGCGGGTTTCCGGACCCCGCTTTCCTTTCCTGGATGATTTGGCCTTCCGGGTGTCGATCCTTCCGACCTTGCAGGTATGGTTCCTTATGGGTCTCCAGTGGCTTTCGCTCCCTGACACCGCTGGCACATTGGACCACCGTCATCGCCATCCTCAAGGCGTTTGGGCGCGAGCTGTGTCGTTGGCGGTGCCACTGTTAGGGAAGAGGAAGGTCCGAAAGGACAGAAGTAGACAGAAGACCGGGTTGAAGCCAGGGATTTCGATGTGTCCACCAGTTTCCATTGGGTTCCTAAGGAGGTGTGCACGTTGAGGAGAAGAGTTGTTCATTTAGGCTTCTTGTCAGGCTACATCAAGCTACGTTTGGATGGACTATTTGTGTGCCCAATCATTTAGGAGTTTGACCCAGATCTATGTGGATGTAGCTAAAAGGCTCAAAGACCCAAAAGAGAAATCTTGAGGGAGGTGTGGTATTGTTTCTTTTATCGCTACTAGGTTGGAGGCCATCGCTATTAGGCTGGAGGCCATCGCTAGTAGGTTGGAGGCCATTGCTATTTAGGTGATTCACCATGAACTTTATCAGATTGGCACCCGAATTTAATCGCCTTCTGAACATCACGTGTTGAGCCCTTGCTCCTCATCCGCCTTTCCAAGTCCGATGGGAATTGGCCCTTGGGATCCACCGTCACCCTCTGAGAGACATTTGGAGACACTGTTATGTAGGTGCCAGGAGGGTCCAGTCATACCTTCTCAGAAGGTACTTGGATCCCAGGCATGTTGAGCCCTTTGGTCCTTCCAGTGCATTGCGCTGCAAGTGCAACTCTGGATTTCGAACCGCAGCCCGCATGACATGTTATATAGGGCAAATGATGTCGATGTGATTCCTGTTTGCCAACGTCGGGCACCAAACAACCAACGGCCAACATCGCCATGCACCGGAAGACGCAAAACACAACAACGGTGGCCCCCCAAAACACACATGTTATCACCAACAACGGTTCACCAGACCGGAGAGGTGTGGGACCGGCTCCACATGCCTGTGATCTTGTGCGATGTCGGGACGCCCAACTCGACGAGATGAGTCGCCCGAAAGATGAGTCGCCCGAACGGCGAACGGGTGAGTTGGTCGATTTGAGGCATCCAACCCATCACGTGATTGCATCCCTGACCATGCAGGAGCTAGGGTCATGGCAAGAAACAACGAGAGTTTACTGCACCTAGCGAGTGTGAAGACATGCGAACTAATGTATAATATAACATTGATGTATAATAGGCACAATTATAGTTATTACTAATGTTGCTTATATCTTTGTTTGTTCAGCACAATTTGGTTTGGGTGCTCATTGGGCACCATCATTTTTGTTGGCCCATCAACTCCTTCCAGGAAAGGAATCACAGCCTCCGGTTTGAGCTACACCGTTTTCTGCCTTTGGGACAGGTGTGCCACGGCTCCTACCCTGCAGGGCTATTGGTAAGCATGTTCGATGATTTTCTCAAGGAAAACGGTCATGGACTCATCACAGGATCCCTTCGTTCCATGTGTCCGCGCGCAAGTTCTCTTTCTAACCTTCCTTCCATCAAGTGCGGTCAGGGCGAGTTGAAGAGACTTCGAGTGACCCAAAAAGCAACTCCTACAGTGGTTTCAGATGACACTGGCACCCAAAGATGTCCTTTAATGTCTTTTATATAGATGGGGTCCATGTAAGCCACCGACATTGGGGTGTGTGCCATCGAACCTCTGAAACTACTGTGCATGTGCCAGCAGTTCCATGTCGGGATGCAGAACTTGGAATGCGTAGAAAAGCCCTGTCACATCCACTCACTTGGGCAGAAACCATCCCGGCATGGAACTGCTGATGGGTCAGATCTGACATGTCACCATCCAGAATCGATGGCACGCTCCAATTCTGATCCACATCTAAGCCTAAGCATCGATGGCACGCTTCATCTCTGGACCCCAGAATCGCCCTCCTCAATGGATTTGTTTAAGAGAAAATCTACAGGAAACCATGTTTCTGATGTTTCTGACCCCAAAACCATGGGCTTCCTGTAGATTTTCCTTTGGACCAATTCTGAGACATCCTTTTTTGCACTTCTGGTCTTGGGCAGTTGTCGTGCCATCAACGTGGCGTACAGCGGCTGTGAGGGATTCTTCCGAAGATCGTGATCGGATGGTCAGATCAGAGCTTCCCACACGGAAAGATGCTTCGCTTGGGGGTCACCACTTGAGCCTCCGAGGTTCCCCAACCTCAACTGCACAACATTCAGTTTCAACTCCACTAGATCCTCATTGGACCCAAAGGCACTGAGTGCCCCACCTTCTCAAGAGTTGATGCAGCTCCACTAGAAAGAACTGAGCTGGTTTTTCACTGGTTGCATTTAAGGGACAAGCAATTTAGCGGGAGATGATAGGGAATGGCTCTTATTGCTCCTTACTGTGGATGAGCAAGCCAAAACGAGCAATACTATTGAAACAGAGTGAGTATTTCTATCTATAGGATCTGTAGAATATTTGTGACTGGTGGGTGGGGGATTATTTTTTAGGTTGGCATCCTGAAATTCATCCTTCATGTCCACCTTCCATCCCAGCTCAAGTACTCCATCAGGTCCTCCTGCTTTTGGTCCTCTCTGTGGCTGCGAGCATCCTGAATTTCACCCTACTGGACGAGGAGATGGACGAGACACTTGGAAACAGCGACCCACCGCTCGTCCAAGATCGGTGGACGGGGGCAGTCGACCGCCTCACTTCGGACGACCGAACTGGACGTGGTCGTCTCACCTCGCTTTGCCCAACTTGCCAGTCTCCGCCTGCAACAGACGCCGTCTTAAGAAATAACCATATACGCATCATACGCCATAATGGCACGTGTTTTTTGAAAGGCAACTATTTGCGACGTTTCGAAGATTCTGGCAGATGTTCGCCAGAAAAAGCTAAGGCATGGTTGCAGCACACACAGCAAATATAATATGTAACTTATAGTATATATGATACCAATCCTGAAACATGCCTTTGGACCCTTTTGAGACCCTTAAAAAGAAGCATATTCCACTTGCTTCCAGCCGTTCATCCTGGACCGGCGGTGTTCGATGATGTTTATTGTATTTTTGTTCTGAACGCATACATCGCTCTTGGGTTGGAGGCCATCGCTATTAGGTTCCGAGCGCACAGATCGCCATCCAGGAATATATTCAGGAGGTGGTCTAATTTTTTTGAAAAATGCCCAGTGCTGGGGAGATTTCGTTGTGTGAGGTTTCATGCGTGAGTCATTGTTTTGTTTGCCCTTTTTGACTCTCTCTCTCTCTCACTTCTTGTACTCCATCTTCGGCAAATCAAATCTCTATACCCTGTGGATCCACACATGCTCTGAGAAGGTGTTTGGAGACTGTATCATGTAGCGGGTTCCAGTACCTTCTGAGAAGGTGGCAGTGGATCCCTAGGGTAATACAGTACCTTCCACACATGCCACGATGACCTCCGCCGCTCAGGACAGCCCAAGCGCGGCGCTGGAGCAAGATCCGCCGGCCCCAGCAGCTCCCTGGAAGCAGAGATTTCCAGAGAGGAGATACAGCAAAGTCGTGATTTCATGAGACTTCAAGGGATGCAGCATTTTTGCACAAATAGTATATTAATGGAATACCTGGGTCTTCAAACGGCCTAAATTTTTGCTGCATACATTCTTAAGTGGAAGGACGGGTGTAATCCCCAAAAAATGCCGTTTCAAGAGTTGCAAACATGTGCTCAAGATCCATCGACGCGGGAAAGATGCCTTTTGGATGCCCAAAGCAGCCAGTTTCCGCCTGCAACAAGAAACGCTGTCTTTGGGAAAATACGCCGTAACAGCATGTGTTTGAGGCAAGTATTTGTGATGTTTCGAAGATTCATGGATATTTTTCTTCCAGAAAAAGCCAAGCTAAGGCATCGTTGCAGCACACACATCAAACCCAACAGAGTTAATATAACTAATAATAATATATGTGACCAATCCAAAAACAGGTCTTTGGACCCTTTTGAGACCATTTCAAAAACAAACCGACTTGCTTCCAGCCTTTCATCGCTCTTCGCATCACTCTTGCACATCGCGAGGCATGGGGAGGTCATGGGAGGTCCTTCTGTAATTTTAAGTCCTATTTGCCTAAGCTGTTGGAGGCCATCGCTTCTAGGTTGTTTGCCATCGCTCTTAGGAGGCCATCGCTATTAGGTTGGAGGCAAAAGAAGATGGTTTCAGGGGTCAAAAAATAGGCATATACACCAGAGGTTCAATGTTTATCCTGTGCACCGTGCACCCAAACTACCCGATGGTCCAGTCAGGGCAATCGACCGGCTCATTGATGGATTTCGACCAATGGAGTACTGCTCGTCGACTAGTGAACCCATATCGTCGACGGCCAAACTTGACAGGACTTCCGACAAGGCACTAACCAAGGACTTCCAGAAGAAGTGAGAGTGAGAACATCTGCTGAAGGAAGGGCGCAAGGGCCGTCCAAGAGAGGTCCAGTGATCTTGCAAGAGCCCTAGTTAGGACCCTTCAAGCAGTGGCACTTTTCGTTCACATGCTACTTGTATATATAGGAATCATTCGCCATAGCCTACCGGACCCAATCAGATAATCAGGATCTGCTAACCAGCTATCTCGTAGCCTTCCCAGCTTCCTCCCAGATGCTCCCAGGCTCCCGCGCGTCGCCAGCGACGAGCTGAGCCTCCCCAGCGAGGCGCAATTTTGCGAGGCCTCGCCTCCAAGGGCGGCGGCAGCGGTGACCGGGCCGGGCTCCTTTGTGGCCTGGTGGGAAGGGATTTGGGTGGAAGAAAGAAGTGCAGAAGTCGGGCAGAAAGAAGGGAGGAAGATGGAGGAAAGGGAGTCCAGTCATGAGCAATTTGACCTCCTTGGTGATGACTCATTGGAAGTTCTGGGGTAGTTTCAAGATGTTTCAAACGTTTTCAACTCATTTTCACACGGAGCAGCGTGTAAACAGAGTGGGAGATGTTGTCACAGCGTCAATCGGAAGTTCAGGAGAAAGTTCAGGAGAATGGGTGGGTCATGGAAGCCAGGCATGTTGCACAATTGATCCTGTCTCATGTCCCCTCGAAACCTTTATCCCAGTTGAGTTCGACGATGTTTTGCTTCAGTGAAAGTACAAGAGGTGCCCAAAAATCAGGTGCCCAGATTTCAGACATTTTGAGACCAAGGACATCATTCATAACTTATAGTAGCGTTCGGACGCTATTATGTAGGTGGATGCCAAGCTTCTAGTAGGTTGGAGGCCATCGCTTGTAACAAGAAGCTACTTCTTCTCGCAAGGGTATCATATGTTGTTTTAGTTTAAATCTAGTTTAATTCTTATTGTTACTAGTAGTAAGGCACTTGTTTCTAATAGTTTTTTTGTTACTACTAGTAAGGCACCTGTTGCTACTAGCGATGCACCTTTGACTCTCAGACTCTCAGGGTTGACTGTACTCTTCCAGACCTTTCACCGAAGACACCGAAGAATGAAACGGACCCGACCCCTTCTCGCAAGCAGCATGGACGTGCTTTCGACCACCTGCTGTTGGTATTCAAAGAAGGGTCCTTTCAGTGGCCATGCTATCCACGTAACTATGGAATCCATGGAACGTGGGTCGGAGTTGAAGCTTTTGTGCTTCCTTTCGCATGAAAAAACGAGAACTGTGGGACCTACCCGATAACAGACACTCTTTTCAGGAGTAATCGAAGAGGAGCGTTGGGGCACCTGTCCTGCGGTTGGGGTAGGTCGATGGGGGTCTAGCTACCTTCTGAGGAAACACCCTGCCTCCTTTCAATGTTGAGGACACGTGAGGAAACCCTTGAGACCTTTTGAAGCCTTTTGAGGAGTGCCAAGTGCTGATGGGCCGATAGGTGGTCACAGGCTAAAGAAGCTGGGCCCCAAACCTGGAAGTGCCAGGTTTCCCTTCACTTAACCCGAAATGCTTAGGTCGAACTTCAAGCAACCTGATGCCGATGCCCATCCTGAATGTCAGACCTCCGCCCTCGGGCCTCTCTCCAAGACCTTGGTCGCTCTATGATTCCAGATCACGGCCCGTTCTTGCGACGGGCTTGTCGCTGGACGCGGTGCATGTTGGACGACGCGGCCCATCGCGGTGCATCCTCCCAGTTCGGCCAGATGTGACTCCCGTGGTGGGAGAGTTCGCTCCACGTGTCTCGGACTGCGAGCTGAAGATGCCGAGCTGCCCGCTGTGAGTGAGGATCGTCTCCGAAGACTGGTGGTTTCAGAGACTATGTTCAACCTTGAAAGACTTGGGATGATTGAATCTGATCAGATTCATTTGGCTGACTTGAAATCTCCATGACTGAACCCAATGGCTGACGAATCTCTTTATATAAAGTGAGTTGAAACCACCAACCGGAGTGTGAAAAACGTCGACCATCTAGTGAGGTCAGACCCTCAGAGTTTGGCCGCCCTAGCCTTTCGATGACAGGGAGGGATGGTCAACACACTCCTTGCCTAGCCCAACCGGTCCATCAGTTGGAGATCAAGGATTCCTTCTGTGTGCCCTTTCTTTTATTTTTAGGTCATTCAGCAAATCCACCGTCATTAGTTTTGCGCACTCCACAGAAAGTAGCTAAAATAATATGAAACACTTAAGCTGAAACGTTGCGGTTATGAGTATGAGTATGAGCCTCCAAGTCTAGACTTTTGCTCGAGGGTTCTTGTGCGCTTGTTTCTGAGAGTGAGTCTTGGGGTTTTGAGATTGAGAGAGGTGTTGACACGAGTGGACAACTTCAGCTGTGACTAGTCTAACACCTACCCAATTATAGTGGATATAACCTTTATAACCCTTTGGGGGATGGGTTTCCCCGCTACAGAAAAAGGTTATCCTTTATGTTCCTCTCAAACTGAGGGTTTAGGGTAAGAGCTTTAGCTCTGAAAAGCTGTGATCTCAACATGTAGGTCATAGTCGCTCGCAAAACGCCCAGTGGTTCACTCGCAAACACCGAGCATAAGCAACCATGGTTGCTTGGCACTCTCATGGCTGGGGCTCTAGAATTACACGATACATTTTACGTGTATTTTTACGTTCATGTAAATTCCCGTATACGGACGGGATGTCTATTGGCAGGGTTGAGGGGTATATACAATGTATCATCCTGTATAGATATGCCAGTCACCAGGCACCAGGGAGACCCAAAAGTCTCTGATCAACCGGAGCGAAGACGTACGTGGTGATCTTGGCGTGTCAACGCGGCACCACCTGGCGCGGAACCGTGGGACCAAAGCGGGAGAGACAGGTTTGGTGGGAGGATCCTGGTCTATGGAAGTCTTTCATGAGAGCCCAAATAGCACTTCTATTGTTTGGGGTGGGTACCTCCGATTTGACCTGCGTTGGCAATCAACAGTTCCAATCTTGACTCCTAGAGCTCCTAATCTGATCTTTCTGATCTTCAGATGCAGCATGGAGAGTCTGCCCACTGATCAAGAGACAAGGAACGTCACGGTCACCGAAACTGGAGCGTCATGGCACCCCAGGGACCACGAACGAACAGAGCAGACGCCCCCAGGTCCATGGTCAAGCATGTCAAGCTGCGGAGGTCAAGAGTTCCAGGTGCCTTTTTTCCACGACCAGTTCGTACTTTTCATGGTCTTCGGAGACCTGAGATTCAGGAACTTCCACTGGAAGGAGAAGCACCGTCGTTCCACGATGTGGAACAGGTCGACCAGGTAGTATAATAGTATGTGGATGCTACGAATGGATCCTCCGGGTAGGTCAACGACTCGGGTAGGACGAACCGACCCGTCGTCCGATCAGCGAATGAACGCCTGGGAGGGAACCTCGGTGAGAGAACCCGCAGCTGGGGAAAGAGGGGTGTTTTTGATTTTGTGTTGTGGTTGCTTCTTTTCAAGTAACTCCATATTGAGTCAATCCTCTATATTGAGTAGATATCCATAATGAAGCTTAATTATATTGAGTATAGTCCATAGATTGGTCGTTTCAAGGCATTTTCTCCACCAAAAAGGATCCAACATGAACGCTTGGAGGATTTCCAAGATCCCCCGACGATATCCGGCTGTCTGGAGACTTTCAATTTCTCAGAAGGTTTTGGAATTCGATAGGACATTACTATACTAAGACTATACTATGCTATGCTATACTGAACAATACTGCCCTCTTTGGAGCCAAATAAAAACCCTATGTCTATGGACCAAAAGATCCTTCATGACCAAAACAAAACACTCAGGGCCCAGACCGGAACTCTACACGACCACCGACCACCAGTCCGACCGCCGACCACCGTGAGGAGCTGGAAATCCCCAAGCTCAAGGGCGCCTGTGGTGAGGTCGTCGGGATGCCCAGCCGATGGCGATCCGAGAGTTCACCCTCCGCTCCGGGACCATCCGGTGTGTGGCTTCGGCCTCTGGGGGCGGTTTGGACACGAGTGTGGCTTGGTGTTTGATACTTACCAAGATGCGCCCTCTCCCAAAAAAAAACATGATAAATGAGTGTGCATACAACTTTTTGTTGTTTTCGTGTTTGATTTTGTTTGTCCCATGACAAGTCATGAATGTAATGTGTGTGTTTTTTGGGTTGTAATCGACCCGGACAGAAGCGAGCAAGGTACTGTAGTTTATGACTCGCACGTCTTTGTGGAGATGGCTTCCATGTGATGACTTCTAAGAACCCGAGTTGGGGTGACTTGCTTTTTTTGAAGCATCAGATTAGATTGTCTCATGGTTGGAATTCAAGCGTTGCCAGTAAGATGAGATCAATACGGGTGAGTCCACCAAGAGTTGTTGATGTGACTGTCTCAGATCAGTGGATTCATGTTGAGTGGTGACTATTCTATTTTACATTAAATGATATTGTAGTTTTATCAGTCTTTCCTTTTCCCCTCTTTGTTTTTCTTATCTGTATCTATTGGTATTTTGGAAATCATTACATTTAGAAGTTACATCAGATTAATGTTGTTTTCTAATTCATACTGGATGTCCACACATCGTCGTCCGTTCCAAGAACACCATCTTTGCAAACCAAAGGATTGCAACGGGAGATGGACCAGATTGCAAGACGTTCCTCCGGTCCCAAGGGTGAAATGCGTGAGCACTGATTCCAAAAACACGGGGGTGCGGGGGTGTTCCCAGGAGAACTCAAACACTTTTGCAAACTGCAAAGAACAAACATGCAGTTTAAATTGAAGCTAAGAAGACCTAATTTTTGACCATTTGCCGAGCATAGACGAGAAATCCACTCATCAACTGGCTAACTTGGTGGTGTTTAAGACTGCTAAACAAGAGCATTTGGCCTTGGTGTTCTAAAAATTGTTGGGTGCTTCGTTGAAGCCATTCTCCCACTTGGCTAGATGTTCAGATCATCTTCTACATCTTCAGCCCGATGTCAGGATCAGTTGGTCTGTGGCTTGGTCTCCGCGATCGACAGCTACTTGGGTCGTAGTGCTCGTCGTCGCGAAGCGTGACCTGTGGATTGGACGGACGGACCGGCAGGTTCGGGTGGAAGATCCGGTGTCTAGCGGAATTCATGGAAGATCAGAGAATCCATATTTGGGGATGGAGGATGATGGAGGAATCTACTGGTAGATCATGCTGTTTGGGTGTCCTGGCTGGACTTACCCTACACTAGTTAGGAATCTTCAGACAGGACACCTATTGCAAACCGGTTGGAGGGCTCGCTGTGATTGATCCTGATGGTCGATTTGTAGAGACTCCAGAGTAGAAGCACTGATCCTCTCATCGTGTTATATAGCATACCATTGCATGTTGCAAGGTCCGGAGTTGATTGCAATCGATAATTTGCGCGTTCCTTTTTCATTGTATAAGCTGCTTGGACCTATACCATCTCTACAGCCCTAGAATCGAAGTATGTATTCGTAGTACTGTCGCTTCCCACCGCTGCCAAGTTGGGCTTCGGAACAGACATAACACCATGCACCTCGAGCCCCAAGGTCAGGACGTCCCACCGTCAGGACGCTGAAAAGACAAGAGAAGACAACGACAGACCTCGGTGAGGTGTGATGAGGTGTGACATGTCGTCATGTCGTGCATTCAAATCGACCCCAAAACCAGTATACCCCAAAACCCATTGGGCCACGGGTGTCTCCCTACCGTATAGTACCGTATTGTGCGTGACGCACCCCTATCACTCCCGATCACTGGGGGGGTGCAAACCGATCGAGGAAGACCTGAGGACCTGAGGTGTTTCATCCCAGGCAGCACCTTTTCTCTTCAACGAAAAACAAATGATTCTCAAAAATGCAGTCCCATTGGTCAGAGCTTAAAGACCCTTCTGTTTGGGCAAAGGATTCTCTACCGCCTGGCGCCACCCTCTCTCTCTCTCTCTCGCTTCCTCCCTGCCTCCCTTCCTTTGTTTTGAGAGTCCAAAGATTAAAAGGTTTTCAGGGGATCTGATCTCGGGAATTTCCCTTGCTTTGCTAGGGAAAAGTATAGTCTTTGGACTATTAGGGTTTCCGGCGGGATCCACTGCCACCGTGTCGGGTTCAGTACGACTGGAAACCATGCTTGGCGCCTACATCAAGGTGTCTCCCTGTGAACAAAAACAGGTTGGCAGTGCTTGGAGTCTCAGTTCGTTCCTCAACCAAGAAACGGGTAGTAGAAGTACCATGAAGTACCTGTTTTTGTAGGGTCATCCACGGTCATGTCCCATTTTTGGTACCCAAAAACGAACGCTCCATCCATCTCGTTTGATCGTCGCCTGAGGCCTTCGAGAGCACGTGGACCAGCTACGGGGCTCGGACTTGCGTCGGGGGCACCCAGGAAGGCCCCGGCCTTTGCCGTCCGGCCAAGGGCGACGGGGCGGGTCACGAAGTCGGTCGCCGGGAGCGTCCGAGGTCGGTCGCCGGGAGGGCCCCTGCCGTTCGAGGAGTCTATAGCCTCGGAGGTGAGGAACAGGGTGTCCGAAAAATCGCGGGGCGAATGGAAGGTCCTGGTACTTTCTTGTTCTTCCTATGTTAACTAGCTGGCATTTCCCACCCAAACCTGAGGAAGTTTTTGTTATTTTTTTGGTAGAAATCCAAGAAAGGGGTTGATATGTTTTGCTTACTGCCGTTCACTCGAGTGGCTGGGGTGAAGAGAAAGTTTCAGCTCGATGCGTGGACTTGCCCCGCCCGTCCACGACCCCCCCCGGTCGCATGCACGCACCCCGATCGGGAAAGGTTATATAGAAGGGGTTGGAGTAGAAAGTCTTGTAGCGTGGGGTCACGTTTTTCTTTTTGCAGTCACTTTTTCTTCAACTTCATTCCGTAGCTGCTTGGTTGGCTCTGAAAGAGATCGGTGCCTGGGTTACCCAATAATTTGTCGCGATGGCCTTTTACCAAGAGTTGCCGTGAGCGACACGCATTCAATGTGACTTTCTGAATCTTATTTGTTTTCGCCTTTGGCTAAAGGTTGCCGTGACTGGGACGCGTACTTTCTTAATCTTTGCTTTCGCTCCTGATGGAAGAGCGCCGTGAATATCTTGAATATCAAGAAAACAATTGTGAGGACTTCGTTCTACCTCCAATATAGATCTTCTGAGCATTCGTCATGCTGTTCGGCTGAGTGATGGGCTGCATTTTGAGTATCGGCTATCGCGGAGTGTACCTGTTTGTTTTCGTTCTTCCCCAACGTCAGGTGAGGGCTGTTAGGTTTTGACGTCAGCATTCCTGCCTCCTCCTTCTCCTCCTCCGCGAGGGATCTGGGATCTCAGTGTTCCTCGCCGGACCTCTCCCGATCGCAGTGTTCCCCGCCGGACCTCGACCGCAAGCATGGTGAGAAATGCGTTGGAAGGGAAAGCAAACAAAAGGAAAGGCAAGCAATTTTGCCAAGGCGCTTAACAAGCATCTTGGAAAGGAAAGCGAAGAAAAGGAAAGGCACGCAATTTGTAAATACCTTTGTCCTCGTCATTTAGAAATCTCTTTTTGATCAGGGAAGCGAAGACAAGGAACAGAATGGTTGGACTGTTCAATGTTGAATTGCAATGGGAAGCGTAGTGAAGCGCCATGGTGGGGATTACTCGAAGTAAAGTAGACACAGGTAAAAGACAATGTCGTCACTTTTGTTGAGGTATTGCTACTTTGCTTTGTGGGGAAGGCTCTGCGGAAAGTGATCTTTTACCCAAACACAAGCGAACTGTGTTGGTTGGAAAGGAGCTTACTTTTAGGTTGTATGCTGGGGCTCTGTTCGAAAGATGTTTTAAACCGGTACTGGCAATCCATAAGGGGTTGATGTCAGGTCTGGATAGTCTTAGTCAAAACGCTAGCTGAACGCAAGAAGGTCCAACACACCACAGCCTTTGCGTTGCAAGAAAGTGGAGAGAGGTTGGGCGCACAGGCTTGCTGAAGTAACTAAATATTTTGCTTAGGTCCTGCAAGCAGTTCACAATGGATTTTCCAATACAAGTACAGGAAGCAACAAAGTCATTTCCAGCCTTTGCCAGTGCAGTGCAGTTCGCAGGGCTGCTGCCAGATGTCTGTTGTGGTAGTGCGTGCTTTGCTGGCTCCGCCTTTCCGCCACTGTCTAAGTCTAGGCTTTGCATAGTTTTCTTGGTTTGGGGTGAGCGCTTTTGGACCTCGCCCGGATCTCGCCCAGAACCACCATCCTCCAGCTGCTTGTGTGCTGCTGCGACTGCTTGGCGGCTTCCACACTGTAATTGGAACTTTTTGATACAAAGCCCAAGCTTGCATTCAATCAGTAGAAAATCTGTAAACGCCTTGTAAGCGGGAGCCTGATGTGACCCGATCGGGTCGGGCCACTACATGCAGATTAGCCCTTTTCAAGTCACCTGATGTAATTAAATTGACAGAATTGGCACGGCGTTCCATTGGGATTGACTGACATGCAGCAAGTAGATGTAAATCAATCAAACCCACACTCTTTTAGAACTAGCGTTCCATTGTTTTTTGCACTCTTTGGCTTTGCTTTTGGGGAGAAATCTCGTTTCGGTATCAACGATCCATTGGGATCAGCTCCCGGGGGTGACTGGGGGATGACTTCTTGGAAACAGCGTTGCCGTGGTGAATTGGCATGGAAATAGTGGCCAGGGACGAAAGTCAAGTTCCTGTAGTTATTTGTCTGAAGGCTTGGTGTCTTCCTCGTTCCTCTGGGGCGTGCGTGAACCTGAAGACCACACCGTCGTGTTGGTGTTGAAGGTTCATTCGCTCAGATTTTTTTCGCTCAATTGCCATAAAAACAAAAAGAGGTCATGGCAGATGTCCCACAGATTCTTTGGGTTCTCCGATATGTCCTGGAGGTGTGAGAACCTTATAGCTAGTGGAAAGCCGGACACCGGGTGGTTGACGGAAATGCAGACTTCTTCCACAAGCAAATGTGGGTGGGGACAGCGGACTTCTTCCGCAGCCTCATACGCGGACTTCTTGTGGGTTCATCGGGTGGGTTGGTCCACCTTGTGCATCTTCTTCCACAAGCGCCATGTTCAAACTGTCAAGTTGGACTTCAACTGAAGTACCGGCGAAGCAAACACCCGACATGTGGACCAGGGCAGAGACATGTGGACCATGCTCTCTATGTGGGTGCAGGTTGGTCCTTGCGCGATCTTGTGGCCGTTTCTAAGCTGGGGCCGCTTTTGGAGAATGAGCAGCGATATTACAGGGCTTCAGCAGATTTGCCTGCAGATGTGGTTGGCTTGGGTCAGACAAGGATTGAAACACAATGGTTGAGCAGCGTTCTAACATTGTTTTGTGTTGGCCGTTGCATGTGCCAAACATGTCCCATGTCAGTTGAAAAGCAGCAAACAGCGTCAAGAGGTGACTGGCGGTAGACAATGTTTGTAGGAGATCTTGCGTCTGCAACAACAAGACTGGTGAGAGCCGGCTGGAAATCACTCACCCTCAGCAGCCTCCAAACCGCCTGCATGTGGTCAGTGACCGTGGCTCAGTTGGTTGGCAGATGTGGTTTTGGCTTTTCCCTCATTGTGGAGTGGTCGGTAGCTTCCAGTGGGATGAGCCCCACAAAGATTGGAGTTCTGTGAACGCCGCTTTGGACAGCGCCGGCCTCAAACCATTCCGCCTTTGCCTGACAACCCTTCTGAACCTCGCATCAGGTCCATGGAAAGGGGCAGCTATGTTTGGGAATTTGTCTGGCTCGGCTCAATCATATTTTTCTTCTTCTACACCTGAAGATCCCTTGTTCCAACATTTCTATGACAAGCTTGCTTGGGAGCAAGCATCTGGGGCTCCTTTGTTTGGAAGTGATGACAGCCTTCGCACGTTGCGGGAGCAGATGCAGGATTGCCCTTTCTGGAACAAAAAGGGGGACTTGGTGAAGAGTTGCCGGTGGTTTTCGCTCTCGGGAAGAGTTCTTGCCTTGGTGGTGGACTGTGGCCCTCCAGCTGGTCCACATGTGCATGAAGAAGAAGAAGATTGTGCATCGTCATTCTCGGCTACAGGTGCTTGTTGCATCTTCTCTGCAAGCCCTACCTGATACAATTCAAACTTATGGTAGAAGCTACTACTTGAAACTATGAGATGTTCGTTTTCTTTTCATCACTTGTCGAGTAGCTCTTCTTCGATCCCTTCTCCTCGATGATTCAGACAGCGCCCTGGCTTCGCCCTGGGTTGTCAGGTTTGGTGATGCACCGGTTGATGCACCCTCCACCGTTTTTTCAGCCAGCGAGCGCCGACTGCTGTGTGTGTGTGTGTGTCAACCCCTGTTCCGAAGGGTGCTTACACGCAGGGGGCTGGAGTGTGCTTCAGATGTCTCCAGCCAATGAAGACGCATCTGTCGCACAGTGACATAGTTCTGGGACGCCAGAACTACGTACCTGCTTTCTTCAACTGACAAGCTGTCCACTCTCGCTTTTTGTTTCCATGGTGTTTCATGATACTACCCCCAAACCTTTTCCACCACGTTTCTGCAGCTGCACCGTGCATTTAGTGATTTCTGCAGACTTCAAAACAGTTTGTTCAAAAATCTACAAGTTTTGCAGACTCTTCTCTTCACCTTACAGTTCTTCACCTTCCTTCCCATCGTGGCAATTGAGTTAACTGAAAACCAATGTCAGAGTGTGAGCCGCTCAGTCTTCCCACTTGGGTGCTGGGTGTGATCCCCTTCAGTGGGGCGCCGAAGCCATGCCGGAACTCATTGTTTTCCACTTTCCTAACTGACTCCACGTTTTCCACTTATATAACTGAATTAACGGAGTTTCGAGCCGCCGGGCTATAAACGATGGAATACCATCAACTTGCAATCGCAGCCGCCGGGCTAAAAAAGGGATTTGATAGCCGCCGGGCTTAAAAACGGAAATTCACCCCACTTGAGGCAGGTCTCCCAACCCCCCCCCCCGCCGAGTTCTACTCCCTACCTAATTAGGGTAACAGGGGGAAATGGTACTCGGCACACTTGTGTGTCGGTACCTTTCCCTCTGTTGTCCCTTTTCTATTCGTCTCTACCCGGGCGGTTTAAGACTAAAGTCCCGCTCCCTAACTATTGCACGTAATTCGCTTCTGCTAAGTAGTCAGTAACTCTAGAGTGCTAAGTATTCATACACACACACACACGGACACACACATGTACATACACCTCCCTGCCCGCCCCCCCCCCGCTTTCCTTCTTGCGCTTTTGGTCGTTTCTTGGGCTTTCTCTCAGGCTTTTTGGGTTGCTCTTGAGGCTCGTTTCCCTACCCCAGTCAAGGGCTAAGTATTCACTTTTTCCTACACCTACCTTTCTCTCTTGACCTCTTAGCGCTGCTCTTTCTGCGTTTCTTTCTTTTGTTTCTAAGGCTTTTTAGGTACCTATTCAGGTTCTTGGCACGAGCGCCGCAAAGCGGCGCCGTGTGTGTGTCAACCCCTGTTCCGAAGGGTGCTTACATGCAGGGGGCTGGAGTGTGCTTCAGATGTCTCCAGCCAATGAAGACGCATCTGTCGCACAGTGACATAGTTCTGGGACGCCAGAACTACGTACCTGCTTTCTTCAACTGTTGACAAGCTGTCCACTCTCGCTTTTTGTTTCCATGGTGTTTCATACTACCATATACTACCCCCAAACCTTTTCCACCGCGTTTCTGCAGCTGCACCGTGCATTTAGTGATTTCTGCAGACTTCAAAAACAGTTTGTTCAAACATCTACAAGTTTTGCGGACTCTTCACCTTACCGTTCTTCACCTTCCTTCCCATCGTGGCAATTGAGTTAACTGAAAACCAATGTCAGAGTGTGTGATGTATCCCCCCTAGGACCTGTGTGTGTGAGTGTCCTTTGTGGTCACCTTTTTCACTGTCTGGTTGTGTACTCACCAATAAATGCTTCATCTATAATTGTGGCTATAGATTGCCGTGACTGGGACGCACGCTTTCTCAATCTTTGCTTTCGCTCCTGATGGAAGAGCGCCGTGAATATCTTCAAAAAAAATATTAACAATTGCGAGGACTTTGTTCTACCTCCAAAATAGATCGTCCCTGACTCGACCATGACTCGACTTGAGTGCTTGCGGAGCTACTCGAATGGTTGCGGAGATTAAGCCTTCATAATCATAGTCATAGTTGCGTGAACAGAAGAGGCTTTTAGGATCGCTTCACCCTCTCTTGGACTTCCCGTCACCCTCACTTTATCCTTGGTGCCACCCATCTGGACCCAACTGTCACGGGGGCCAAGGGTTTCTTGCTGTGACTTAACAAGAAGATTCTAATTCGACAGCCGCCCAGGGAGGCAATATTTTTTCGCCTCGCCCATCTCTCTTCACCTATTTTGACATTTTTTGCAAAAAAGCCGCTGGGGGTTAGCGGCGCCAAGGTTGCTTCATTTTCTCAGCTTGAAGAGTGCATGGCGCAGAATTTTGCCGCTGCGAAGAAGGCGATCGATTCCATTGCAAGGAGGCTCTGAATCGAGCGGTAGTAGATTGAAAGATGGAGCGCGAGATCAGCTGGCCTTTCTTAAAAAGATGGGAAGCAATTTGCACGTTGCCACATTGTGTGGTTTTGGCTCGCTTCAACAAGTGTTTGGCCAAGATGATGTTGGTCGTCGTGACGCCTGTGCGTTCCCACCATGGCCGTGCTCAGAAGATGTTTGCCACTCGCTCTGGTGGGGCAGAAAGGCAGATTGCGATGACCTCTGGAGAGTGGATTGGCGAGCTGGTGACTTAGGGCCTGTAGGCGATGAGGAGGAGCACGAGCTGGTCTCTTTCACGTTTACATTTCTTTGTCACCTGCTGGCGCAGCGCCTCATGAAGTACCTTATGTACAGCTTTGGGCTTCCCTTCAAGTTGGCTCATTTGTTGAACCATGACCCTGCCGAGGTCACTCTGGCTTTGCGCATTGGTGGGCCACTCTGACAAAGGCAGAAGATCTGCCTCAGCAGCAGGCGAACTCTTTTGTGGCGTCTTGCTTGAAAGAATTCATTTGGCCATCCATGGTGTGGTACCGGCAAACATTCGTTGAGCTGGATGAGGTGGAGTTTGGGCATGTGCCCTGTCACGTCGCTTCACAGATCCGAGACTGGTGCAACGGGCCAACTGGATGCGCAGCGGGTCGACTGGGCGCCGAGAGCAATCCAAGCGACGGCCACTTCTGCAGGCCCCAGTTGCAGCCAGGTGGACTTTAGACCAGATGCGGCAGATGGCACCTCCAGGCGACATCCTTTTTTCGCGGGAGGAGCGGTGGCATACCCGGTGGAGGTGCAAGCATCTGGGTTGCCCTCCGCCTAACAACGTGTCGAGGGTGTTTCACAGCAGCCATGTCTTGCCACTGCCGACTCCACCCAGGCACAGAAGTCTCATGGCTGCTGGATTGAATTGGGGCGGTCAACGTGTGAACGTTGCGGTGACTGGGGCGCATACAGTGATTTTTCAATTCGCTTTTGATTGAAGGTCATGCCGGGAAAGACGAATTAGTGTCAAGTTCAGAAACTCGAAAAAGCTTGGGTTCATGGTTGGGCCCAATATTAATCAAACATGATTTCTTGGCACGCCCTACCTGGCAAATTGCTGTGTCAATGGTTTTTGTCGGCATCGACATCGCCAATTGTTTGGCCACAAGAGAAGAGCAGGACAAGAGCGGCCACAGAGCCCGCCCACAGAGTTCAGGGGTGCGGCCAGTCAGTGTGTCCAGGGCTGGTCAGCGCGGCCAGAGGACAAGAGGAGGACAAGACCCGGCCACAGAGTTCAGGGGCACGGCCAGTCAGTGTGGCCAGCTCTTTTTTAAGCGTAGAACCCCAACAGTCAACTGATTAGTGGAATCGTTTTGACCCTGTTTGGTGTCTATTTTGGTATAATCAAAAAAGCACCCAACTTTCCACTTTCCGAAAACAAGTTTCCAGAATTCTGAACAATGTATCCAGTTTCCGATCACCGCTTTTCGGTTTTTCGAATTCCAGTTTCTGACCCAACTTTTGGTTTCCGAATTCACAACGCAGGTGCCCGAACTCAACGCTGATCCACGAATGGGACTGGCTTGTCAGCCTTTGCCTCGCTTTCTGCTGAATGTTGCCATTATACTTCCTCAATCTTTGGAGAGCTCTGAACTGAAGAGTTGCTTGTACTGGCTCACCGCGACAAAAAGTCCCGTGCGCGCATCAGTCAATTCTGGATGCCCACACAAAGCACTGTGAGATACTTGGGGTCACAGCGTGAGCGCCGAGTATGACCCAGATGCTAGCTTGCCCTGGTCCCTCCCTAGTTACAAACAGGTAAGAAGCGCTGTTTTGAAGGTGGCTTTTCTCCATGAAGTGGACGATGTGTTTTCAACCCAAGAGCCCCAGGCAAAGGGACACCAAAAAGTAAAAAGGGAACCCGTACTGCAGGACTTCCTACTATATCCCCATCTGACCTGTTCCAACCCGACAGGCACCGGGCCTGGTCTGGGACTGGGACCTAAGACAGTGGATTGAGAGTAGATGGCACAAGCCATCACAATCCCCAATGTCGGGGGTTTACATATATGGACCCCTATCTTTTCAAACATTTTGGTGTGCCACTATACATGGCATAGTGGTCCCCAAATAGATAGTGGCACGATTTCCAATACATGTTGAAAGGGGTTTTACCTTTCTATCTATTAGGAAAATTTTTGTTGGTCTATAAACGCTGAAGCTACACAAACAACATGTTCTATTTTGGATGAAATGGTCCATGCCTCAGGTCGTGAAGTTTATGCCATGGACCGACAAGCACAGGTGGGGCGAAGCGTTTTCGCGTATCGCGGAGTGTAGAAGCGCGCTTGCGCGCCTCGGATATGTTAAATTATGATGGATTGCCAGGGCGCCAGAGGCGATCCTCAATCCTTGAACATTTTGGACATCCACCACCGGGCTGTTGCTGACCGGGTTGTTGCGAGTGTGACACTTCATTCAACTTCATTCCATGTATAGGCGTGACAAGGCTTCTGCTTTTAACCGATCCCATATGCTTGGTTGGAACTTCGATCCATGGAGACCTTGTCGTCCCAACCCTTCCTGTTCAGGACCTGAGTCATTCTGGGTGAAAGGAACTCCTGGCTATGCCGCTGGCCTGCTACTGTGCTGCTGTGCTGCTGGTTTGTTGGTTTGCTGCTCCGGCTCCGACCGATCGCCGACCAGAGCGGAGCACCTTAGGACCCGTGTTGCGAGATGGCTATGTTGGCGATGTTACCCTGAAAACTCACATGGACCCTGAGAATGGACCTGTGGTTTCGACCATTTTCCACTAAAAACCCAGTGGTTTTAGTGGTTTTGGGGGTTCCATGTTCATCTTCCAGGACGTATGTTAGTGCTCAGGGAAGGGTGCGACGTGGAAACGGATGGGTTCCGACCCAGTTCCGGGCCACCAGCGCTTCGCGTCGCCTTCGCGTCGCCTTCGCTTCGTTGGCCGTGCGAACGGGCAGGACTGGGTGGACAAGGTGGAGAAAGAAGCGGCTGGGGGCTCTCAGCTGAGCAGAGCCCAGCGATGCTGGTCCGGCAAAGATGTTGGTGGTCCGGTGGCAGTGAAGGTTGCTCAAACCCCACCATTGCATACCATGGCCATCCATGGCCACCATTTGAGTATGTTGTGTGCTGCCTCGCCTCGTGGCTGGCTGGCCGCTTTAGGGGTTGGGAGCTAGAGGATTGTTCAGCCATATTCATCCAGAAAATCAGCCGTGTGTAGGTTGTGGATCGATCAGTCCCACCAGACTCTCAGCTTTCTGAGAGTCTGGGACAGGTGATCCAGATGTCACTAGATGTCCCAAGATGTGCTGTGCAGTCTGCCCCAAGTGACTTATGGCAGTGACTTATAAGTGATTCCAGTGAATGGTTTGATTTGACTTATGCCTGTTCTGGCAGTTCTGGGATGCGAGTTCTGGCATGCGAACTGCAGTTCTGGGATGAATGCCTTGGTTGTTCAATTTCCAACGATGAAGCCAAGCAGGGCATAATCCCCAACGGATTTAGGGGTTCGGCTTCCACGACAGACCAACCCCAAAATGACTGTTCGCTAGAGTCTGCTAGAGGAACACAGCATTTCGGGGTGTGAACATCTTCAGGGGCCTTTGCAGGGAGGCTTAGGGAGGCTGATGTGGAACCGATGTGGATTTCAACCGATGTCACCCCTCTTTCAACTGAGGAGGGTGCAAACTTCATCAAACACCAGGGTTCGTGCCCCACAAATGTGGATCAAGTGGGTTTCGCAGAATGTTTCCCCTCTATAGCGATCCCACAAAATAGAAAGTGGCACGGTTATATAAAGTCTCCAATACATTCTTATAGTGGGGATCTGCACATCTACTTTTTATATCTATTTGGGGACCACTATGAACGTGATGTCTAAACACATTTGAGGTCGAAAGCCTCACCGGCTACCGCGATGGGGTGCCGGAGCTCAGAGCTGAGCGAGCTCCTGGAGTTGGAAAGGAATGGGAAGATCCTTTTTCCAACTAATGGGAAGACACCTAGCTAGATGAAAAGGATCGATTGATGGATCTTCATAGAATTCTTCCTAGCGATCAGTTGGGTTGAAACGGAGTGAATGTATATAGGCGTATAACGGTATATATGTCTATAACTTCCTCAGAGTGCTCCTTTTATATATCTGTGCTGTGAAAAACATTCTATGGAGTCATAGCCTTAATTCCACGGACGTTTATACACAAGCTACGGGGGTGTACTGGTGAGCCACGAGTGTTTTTCCCGCACGTGTATTTATTTTTCAAATGATGTTTATTTTGGTTGCGTATGTTTGGTTCACAGACCTAAATAAAGGTATGTTGAACTAACACCAAAAGAAAAGGAACCACGAGGTTGCAGGTATCTATACCAGGGCCCTCCAACAGGCCACCACCCGCCACTTTTAAGTCTCCATTTCAGCCAGAAAAAGGAGTGTTTGGGAGCGTAAATTCATAGAACACCCTTTTGTCTAACTTCCAAAAAGAGGGGCTGGTTCTGAGACCTGAGTGGAGAGTGGAGAGTGGAGAGAAGTGCAGAAGGAGAACCCCTGATATGAACAGTTGTGAACCTCAGAACCTCTAGGTGTTTCATTCTTTTTTTTTGAACAACCCCCTGCCACGCTTTCCTGGCTTTTATTCCAGCACTCCAGATCTCCTGTCAGGTGGACACCATGATGGAGGCAGGACCATGCGACCACGCTTCCATGAAGGTGTGACGAGAGAAAAACCTTTGATTCAACGCACGTCTCTGGGTGGCCAGAGAGAAAAGAACACACCCTGTGTCACCCAAAAGGATTTGTACGTGTGTGGAAGATCACCCTGAGGACGCCATGTTTGTGGGTTCCTAAGTTCGTTCGGGGCGGAGAGCTGACGCAACTCATACCCACAGGTCAAGATCAGAGCGGCGCACCATGCAGATCTCCCGCTCACGTCTCCCACCTGACAGGGCCGCAGGGGGCCGGCTCGCCTGCTTTCCCCTGCCTGCGTCCGGTGAAAAACACTGCTCAATGATGCTCAATGTTTGGTTCAAGAAACTGAACACCATGATGTTCAACTGAACACCAGGTGTGCCCGTTTTTCGAAGACCAGGTCTTCACCGTCGACTCTGTGTTGGGTCGACTCGTCCGGAGGTGCATGTCGTGGGGCTGAGTCACCACAGCGCCCCGGTGGAGGCCGAAGGGTCTGCCCGGGCGCGGCGCGGCGCGCGCCGCGTGGGCGAACGCATGGGAAAGAGGCCTTGGCAAACCCTAGGGATTGGTTCCACCCCAGCTTTGAGGGTGCTTGATGTGCTTGGGATCAGTTGGAATACCCGGTGATTGCGGGTTCTGAAGATCCCGAAGGGGCAGAGATCTTTGAGTCCTGAAAGCGATTGATGTTGAGGGGACTGAAGAGTCAGGAAGGTGAGGAGGGCGAGGGAGGCCTTGCAAATGGAGTATGCTGGAGTAGCACCATCCAAACACCACTAGAGTCCAAAGGAGAATTCGACAGACTGAAAAGGACTCTGAAGTTCCAGCAACTACATGGAACCGATCCGGGAAAAGCTCTGGGTCGCTTGCCAATGATAGGTAACAGCAACACATCAGACCTATTCACCTTCACCTCTTTGACGGTCCAGCTGTGGGTGATGACCAAGCGACCCAGGTGCACCAGGTGGATGAGCGGCAACATGAGCGGCAAGGGAGTGTAACAGACATCAAATGCATGCCCCACAGCAAAATATGAACATGATGGAAACGCATTGGTTTTTCACATGCATGGAGATAATGGCATTTATTGAAATATGTCCCAAAGAAAAAATATGAACAGATGGAGTTCGTTCGTTTTCACCGGAATTTCTCCGAGTTCGATCGTTCCCGCAGAGTTCCCACACAAGTGTTTTCGCTCCCAGGCATCCGCGGTGAGGTCTGGGTGCTTCCAGTTCCGACCCAAAGGCACATGCAGATTATATATAGTATAGACTACGTTATATAATACCACAATAATGATATAACCACATATATATATAGTAATAATTGATTATAATATAGACACTCCATGTATGGAATCCATACCTACATTGATCCCTGAAACCACAAAGGAAACATAGAAAAAACAACACAACAAGAATCTGATGGCGTGGTACCACATCAAGACACCATCACAGGCAAAACAGAGTTGGATACGTTGGGTACACAAATTGTCGTTGGATACAGCTTGTGAAGTCGGTCAATGGAACAAAAATCCTTCTTACTAGTATTGAAATGTATTGAAATAATCCCTTTTTGGTAAGGACATCTGGATGTTTGTTCCTTTCTATGAAACCGGAATAGCTATTGTTCAAGTGGCAATCCGAGAAACGTTCGGAAGATGCTTGTTCATCAAACGTAGTTCCTGTAGGTTTGGAAGATTTTGGAAGGGTCTTGTTGGAACAACCTCACCGGGCCTACCTGCCTCCGCGCAGGTCCGCGAGAAGCTTGCGGTGGCACAAGCGGATTGGAACGCTTACGCACAGGCGATGTGCTCCGTTGGCAATGGAACGGGAGAAACCATCTCATCAAGCTATACTTGTATGTGGGTCTGTAGTCAAGTAGGGAGATCTCCAAAGGACCCCCCGTGAAAGAAGGAAAATAGACCAGTCTACCGGGGGGTCTCCCTATATTTAAACATGTTTCAGGTCTGGCAGGCTTGGGTGAACATGTATTCATTACTGCCATAGGTTTGAACCAACGAATGTTTTGGCTCAAGTGACTTGGCCAAAATAGCGTTTGTTCTCTCTTTTTGAGGGCGGAACCCTTGGAGAGACAGTTCTTTTTTTTTTGTGCAGGGAGGGACCCTGTTTTCCCATGAGCGAGTTGGGAACAAGCCTTGCTGCCTACACCAGGTACCAGGTGATCCATGCCGCCGCGTGGATGGAGTTCAGCGCTCACCTTCAGGAGCTGGTTGCTGAGGGGCGCGAGCGGGAAGCTTTGCGCCTCTGGGCCTCCGTGGTGGAGTTGGTGCATCTGGGGTCTCCAAGGCAACCCCTCTCCATCGCTGGGTTCCCCCCGGTTCGTCGGTTCGTATGTACCACCATTCCGTGTGCAAGGTGCACCGACCGTCGGGGCGGCTTCCAGTTCCCATGGGTGGGCGTATGGAACCGCCGCTGCTTGCTGGTTCAAGAGGGACTTGGGCCAGCGGTCGCGTGGCAGCGCTACCATGCCTCTGCGGCGCGCTTGGACCGCCTGGCGCTGCAGTGGATTGCCTTCGACCTGGGCCCGTTGGACATCTTGCCAGTCCACGTTGGCTTGGCCGTGGAGCGGCTGGACGACGGGGACGATGGCATCGACACCGAGGAGTTCTTCGAGTTGGTTCGGCTTTGGCAGCAGGGGAGGCGGCCATGGCGGGAACCATGGTCGTCCCTGGTTGGGACCCCAGGTATTCCCCGGGAAGTCGCGAATGCAGGCCGATCCATCCGTGCGATCCTGGGGGCCGTGGCCTATGACGTTGAGTACATCCCCCCCCTCTGCCTCCTTTGTCGCCTGCCCACGTTCGAGTCCTGTCGAGTCTGTCGATCGATCGTTTGTGAAAGCTGCAACTTCTGGTCACGGCAGTGCCCGTTGTGTATCGACAGTTCTGGCTCAGACTAGTGCGATAGTCCTTGCAGGGCTCATGGCTGACAGGGGGCGTTATGCGGTCGAGTCAGCGGGGAGCTCCAGGTGGGACCCGGAGACCTCGTCTGAAGTGGCCCAAGCCGCCCGTGTTCGCGAGTTCAGGGAGCAATACCACCTCTTGGACGACGCGGACTTTGCCTTTGCCTTTCGGTCAGCGGAAGAGGCCTTGTTGGCCGGGGGCCGGGGATTGGCCGATGCTTGGACCAAGGCCCGCTCCGAGCAGACTGAGGAGCTGATGCCGTTGGCGGCCTCTACAGTGGAAGCGGGCTCGAGTCGCGACAGGCCGGCACATGCTCTTCACCTACCCGCTCCTCCAGTGCCTGTTCGGAAGGGAGTGACCCTTTCTCAACAAGCTTTCAGTGCTGACAGTGTGAACAGGCGAGTCGAAGCGCTGGCCAAGGTGTTTGAGGACGCCGGGATTCATCGCCCTTCCGTGGGGAACCTATCAGATGCGATCCTAGCGGAGTGGAAACTGCAACTCACTCGATTGGCGCAGGTCAAAGTGACCAAATCTGAACCTCAGACAGTGGTGAACGCTGTGCGCACGTGGTCGGAATTGGTCAGCTTCATGCGTTCTCGAGATAGGACTACGATCGAGCATTTGGATTTGGCGTCATTCCTGGCCTCCGGCTCCAAAGGACCCAAGCGGGCATTGAACTCGCTTCGCTGGTTGAATGAACTGGGGCATTTGGGGTGGCAGCTGGATGCGATCGTGCTGGACCCACCTGCCTCGCGGCGGGCAGCTGCGCGATCCCAGGCTCTCGTTGTCGAGCCGCCCATGCTCACCCACTTGGAGCGTGGCATCAAGGAAGCCTTCACCCGACAGGACCCTCGCTGGACTGCGATGTTGGGGAGTTGGATCGTTGGCGTAGGGGTACTACGCTACCGGCATGTCCAACGTGCTCAGATGGTGCGATTGTCCCGCTCAACGATGTACTGCCATTGCCCCAAAGGGAAGCAGGCGAGCAAACGTGATGGCTTCGATTTCTCCATCCCTTCGCAGTTCACAGATGGCTGGCCCTGGGCAGAGCATGTGGTGGCCCTTCGGAACCAGTTGCCTGAGGCCCAACGAGATGCAGGCGGCCTCTGCTTCAATCGGGAGGGCCGCGCGTGGGACATCTCTGAGGTGCAAGCCGCAGGCCGTGAGCTGTTCCAGGACCTTGTGACCGACGTGGCCGACCTCTCCACCTACTCGTGGCGCCGGCTCATGCCCACGGTGGCGTTGCTGGCCAAGTACACCCCGGTTGAGATGGTGGCCTTGGGGGATTGGCAATCCAAGAGTGAGCTACCTCAGGAGGCCGCCATGCCGACACACTACGCAGGCAGCCGTGATCTCGTCAGCATGAGGCTCAAACATCTGTCGCTGGGACTTGTCGCCAGGTTGGGCGAATTTGATGCCTGGGAACTGGCAACTCCAGCCGCCATCACTGCCGCAGTGGACGCGGCCAAGCCCGAGGTGCAGCGGGCAGTGAGCCTCGACAAGCACAGCTTGTGGGACAAGCCGATGTCGGTGGCAGCAGCGCAGCGCGCGTTCGCCTTCTCGCGAGAGCGTGCAGCGCTCACAAGAGCGGCGCAAGCTAGTTCCAAGCGCTCCGAAGCTGTGATGCCCCCTTCCATCAATGGCAAGGTGGTCACTCGTTTCCTGAGGAACGGCAAGGCGCTATGCCCCAACTTTCAGTTGGACGCCTGCCACGTGGGCGAGGGGACCTGTGGTGAAGCCCACCTTTGCGCCATCGTGCTGAAGACTGGCCGTGCCTGCGGAGGGAAGCATCCAGCTCAGGCTTGCTTGGCAAAGCGCTATGTGGTGGCCGAGGATGTCGAGCACACCCCTCTGGCGAACGTCGCAGTGCCCAGCACCGCAGAGCCAGTTGCTCTCCCTGTGGCCGACGCCCCTGAGGCTCCACATCGTTCATCATCGCCAGAGAGCACCTCCAGTGAAGATGAGTCCTCAGCAGGCCCTCGCTCCCCGAGCGCGTCCCCGAGTCCAGTCCCCGCTCCCAAGGCCAAGAAGCCGCGCACTGTGCCACCCCCGGACGCTGAGGCAGCACCCTCTCCAGCGCAGCCCGTGGCGCCCAAGGCAATGCCGCCCTCGGTGGCAGCGACAGCTGCGGCGCCCAAAGCCTCGGAGGTCATTCCACCATGGCGAGCAGCAGCAGCCGAAGCCACGGAGGCTCCCAGCGACATCTTCGAGATGCCCGAGCCCCCGGCCGCGTTCACACCCAATGTGCACGACCAGCGGTGGGACCGCTTGGCCACTGTGCGGGGGAAGAGCGCGCAGGCACCGACCAAAGTGCTGTCCGTCCAAAGTGGCGGCACGTTGTGGTTGGGTGGATTGCCTACGAACAGGTCAGCATCAGCCTTTCCATCCGTCACTCTTCAAGTGGCATGCATGCTTGAGGAGCCTTCGCAGCGGGGTGGCATTTGCTTGCAGGGAGCGACCCTGCGCAAGTTCGCTATCGCCCACCCTGATAGGCGAGACGAGCAATGGCGCGACCTGTTTCCGCTCCTGTGCAATACGTTGTGGGGAGGTGAGGATGTGCTCCTCCACTGCATTAGTGGCCGGCATCGCGCGGCGGGTACCGCGTGTATGATCCGAGCCATTCTGCTCCGGGAGCGCTTCGAAGCAGCTTGGGACTACTTGGCAAGTGTGAGGGATGTCGACATCCAAGGCTTGCTGAGAGACAGGGCCTTGGCTGGTTGGATCCATGAGACCCTTCGCACATCTAGTCTGGGCAATGCCTGGCCCCGGCCAACCGGATACATCGCGACCGCCCGCAGTCAGCTGCACATCCAGGGCTATGAGGACACTCCCCTCTGCTCACATCGCCAGAGCGGCCAGAAGGGCAAAGGGCGTTTGACAAACCCGTCGAAGTGTACCTCGAAGATGGAGGCGATTGCCTGGGGCAGGCCAACATGCCAAGTTTGTGCCAATAGAGCACCAGCCTCCTGGATCCCTTGAGGAGGCTGTGGCACCTGTTTTCATCTTGTCGCACAGCGACACATAAGAGCAGCTAGCCCCCTTTTGGCGATGGAGTGATCCGTTGCCCGTGGCGAGCTTGACCAAGACAGCGTGAAAACAGAGTGCAGTCTCCTGACAGGGGTATTCGGTGAGGGGGGAGTTTCGCCTAGGCGGGTAGGATCGAGGTGCAGGGAGAATTGACCGAGCCGCAGAAGCATGTCCATGAGGACGTCGTTCGGTCTGTCCCTATGTCTTCCTTCCCCCCCCCGTCTCCGGACTCGTCACGGCCGTAGTCATTGTGCAGGAGGAGAGGGACTCCTCCGAGCGGGCAGCTTTGGCTTAGGCGCGTGGGAAGGGATCCCCGAGACAGCATGGCTAGTTCTTTGAGCTTAGTGCCGAGGGAGTCTTCGAGGATTGAAGATTCTCTGAAGGCGCCAGGCACGAACTTCAGCCTTGACCCTGTTGTTGTGGAAGCCTTGATCAAGACCGGTATCTCTAATTTTGAAGAATTTCGATTTTTCTTTGACAGTGAGGGCGCGGTTGAGCCATGGCTCTCAAAGCTGTCGCTTGGGGATGGCAAGATGCTTCAGGTGTCCCGCTTGCGGCGGGCATGGCACGCCATCACCCTCTATTTCAGGCAAATGGAGCAAGATCGCTCCAAGGTGGCCTCTGATGACCTCGATTCCATGCTTGGAGAGACCGAGCTGAGGGACACCAAGGTCAGCTTCTGGCGGAGGTACCGCCAACGATTTCCCCCGGAGGTGCATCCGTCTGACTCCACCCTCTCGAGGGTGAGCCGAGAGATGAGCAAGCGGATGCTGTGCGTGTTCTCCATATGGAAGGTCAAGTCCTTGCAGTTTCAATTGATGACTACGCAGAAGAAGCGCAAACTCGGCGACAACT